CTCACAAGACTTCGACATCCTAACAAGTCAGAAGAAACATCGTAAGAATTCAAGCTTATAAGAGTTCAACATCCTAACAATCAGAAGAAACATCGTAGAACTTCAAGCTTGAATATCAGAACACATCGAAGGGAGAAGAAGCATCGTAAGAATTCAAGCTTACAAGAGTTCAACATCCTAACAATTAGAAGAAACATCGTAAGAATACAAGCTTATAAGAGTACAACATCCTAACAATTCGAAGAAACATCGTAAGATAAGCAGGTTAGAAGATAGAAGACATCTAATGAATAGGAAGAACATCGAAGGGAGAAGAAGCATCGTACGGACATCCTTATAGGAATATTAATAATGGAATTGAGAAGAAAATCTCATGATATTCATATAGAAAAACATCAAGGAAATCTGAGTGGAGTTTCATACATCCTTGAAGGTAATAAAATATTCATAAGAACCAGATTCTAACAAAAACTATTTTTAGGACATTAAAAAACGAACTCGATATGTATCTTTGGATTCAGAGTTCAAATCTTTTCTCAATAGAGCAGATTTTCTCACCGGAGCTCAGATTTGGAAACAAAAACTCTTTGAAGAAGATTGGGCTATGTTATTATTAGTAGTGAACCAGACTGTAGCCAAAAAAAGAGAAACTTATATCAGAAGTAATGCTTTTTGATAAATGAAATCAACAACATGAAAACTTTGTAAAAATACTTGGTAAGAATCTGAATAACATTGAAGGTGAAAAAAGCATCGTAAGGACATCTTTAAGGAATAATCATCGTAGAAATCAGAAGAACATCTCGATATTCAAATAGAAAAAAAAAGATAAGAAAGTCTGAGTGGAGTTGCAGACATCTTTAAAAATTGGAAAATATAAACAATTTAAATAAACAATGGGTGTTTCGATGGAATGCGAAATTCGAACTCGTTCTCAAAAGAGCAGATTTTGTCATCCGAGCTAATAATTGTAAACTTTTTCTTCGAGGAGATGGCACAGGTAAAATATAAGTTTCAAAATTAGTTCATTTCAGAAAAAATACGATTTCAAGTTTTATAAATGATGTGAAGAATATGCAATTTCACCGATTTTGAAGAGAGTTACATGGTCTTCCAGATAGAGAACGACCGGGTTATTTTTTTTTCAGGTAAAAATTGTTTCCACGTGGCACGTTTACACATCGTATATAAGCCGTTCGACAACTGAATAACCTCAGTTGTTGGTGTGAGCGGGCGAGCTCGAGTCCTCTCTTTCTCGGTGCTGAGAAGAGTCTGAAATTCATAGACTCATAAGTCAGGGTTGGCTCCTGGAAGAGCCCGGCTTCTATCTGAAAAGCAACAAAAAGTTGCATTCCGTCCTATTCGTCCAGAAAGGTTGCATTTCATCTCTACGATATATTCAGGTTACGATATCATAGTGAACAGCAAGCAATTTATTATATTATTTTGATGTCATCTTCACGATGATCAGAACCGCAGCTTATGTTCTCAATTCAATCAACTAGATTCATAATGATGACAATTGACAGTCAATTTCTCATAAAGAGCAAGAAAGGTTGAGGAAAGGAAAAAAGTCATTTGGATTTGATCAATTTGGAAGCTGAAAGCGTTTAACGTATATGATTTGTTGAACATTACTTCTTCAGATTCGGTCATGATGTGCAATAGTAAACCTATATTGCTTCTTCAGGTTGGATTTCTGGTTTACATTAAAAAAAATTTGAAAATAAAAAAAAATGATTCAGTAGGGTCCCAAGCGAAACTTTTCAAAATACACTTTCAAGAAGAATGTGGGATACATGGGGGTTTAATGGTAGATCAAAGTTCTCAGGTTTTCGATATGAACAACTTCTCTACCGTATTCGTAAAATGTTCATAAGATCGTGGGAAATTTTTACTAGTTCAACTTTCTAATCTAAATTTTGAATTATCTGAAATTTGCATGAATTACAAAATTGCGTTAAAATTTATGAGATTTACGAGTGTTCTATATTTATCAAGAAAATTAAATGAGATTAGTAGTGTTTGCATGCAGTAAAAGCTACTGATTGTATTTGCACAAATAAAGCAGGTTCCACTCATTTTTTCAATTTAGCAATAAGTCCCATGTATTGGGGGCTCTGAAGAAACCGAACGTACGGATCATTACGTAGAACCTGAAATGTGTGGTTCACAAAACCACAAAAAACTAATCAGAATGAAGAGTAACCTGTTCAACATGCTTTATAGCCTCATCGAATATAGATATATCGACGTCTTTATCTTCAATACGACGTTCAATAACTTGCCGTACACCGAATGGTAGAAAAACCTATCGAAAACCATTAGATAACAGTTATCTTTTCAACCCAACCTCATTACTAGCGCCTTCCGCCAGATAAGTGTTCAGGATCACTTTGGCCAGATTCGACATAGCAGGGCTTTTATTTTTTGTGGCTCGGAACTCAACAACCGCTTCCCAAAATCGTAAGTTTTCTTCGGCGTGTATTCCACGTAGGAAGAGACGGAAATGATGTCGGCCAACCTACATTCACCTTATATACTATAATTCAATTGTTTAAAGCTACATGATTGCCTAATAAGGCTTCGAACGAGGTCGTCCATTTTTCAGCATAAGACCGTGGAAGAAGTTGTTCAAGAAAATCCAGATATACATCAGATCTTCGGAAACGAGGGAATTGGTCGTTTTCAAGTAAACGACGGATCTGAGTCATTTGGGTTTAAAAAATTAGAAAATAATTTACTTCTTTCATGGCTGGAGCAAAGTCTTCAGGGTCGATGACATCAGACTCAGCTGCATCTCGAAGTTTCTAAATTTCAAAATTATAAGCTGTTCAAGGTAGGATGATCTTACTTTCATTGCTCCGCTGCTCAAATTTACATATGGAGAGTACTTTTCAATAACTTCTTTAGCATATGTCTTGAAAAATGTGTAAAGAACATTATTATAATCTAGAGATACCTTTTTCTCATCACTGCTTTTCATTTTCTTCAGCTTATCTAACTCTTCCAGAAAAGTTAGATTTTCTTCAGCCAATGCTTGGAAAAGAAAGCAACGAAACAATTGACGACCTCAAAGGGATTAATGTTACATATATATCACAATAAAAAAAACCTTTCTCGTCTGCTAGAATATTGGCACAGCTACCAGAGGCCCAACTAGCAGCTCGAACATATTCTATACCAGCTGTATCTGGGAGTGGTGGAGCTTGACGATCAACTTTAGCAGTTGGATCAAACATGGCCATGATCTGAACGAACGTGGATGAAATGTGGAAAGGGTAATTGGCTTCAAAGCAATGGGAATGATGAAACAAAATGTTTTTGCTCGACGCAACACTCAATGGCAAACATATGATTATCAAAATCTATTATTAAAGACATTCTTGTTTCCATGATGAAATATTTTCACCAAGAAAATAGTTTGAAAATCTATATATTTATGAGCGAAACGCAAAATATGTCTTTCATTTCAAATTATTTTTCATAAAAATTCCTTTCTACCTGCCATTACAATATCTCTAGAGAGAGAACGAGCAGGCAGTAAGTAAGGTGGCAGCCGATAGAAATGACCAAATATGGCGGAAAGAAATTTTTCTATGAGAAAATTAGATTTTCGTATACAAATTGGTTCATTGTAATAGAACGTAATTATGAAAAATAGATTAAAAATCATAAATTCCATTCAATCATATCGTATTCACAGCGTGCTGCTCATAGATTAGAGACTCTGAGAGAACATTGCTGTTTAGAGAAGGTAGTCTCAATACTACTCATTTATGGACCTCTAAGCTCGGATGATATCCAGTTCCTAAAAACTCCTCCGTGCTGTATCACGTTTGGGTTATAAAAGCTAAACTTCTCGTTTTTTGACTTGTGAAACTTTGACTATTCCCACTCTTATGGGCAGTTTTCAACAAACTCATCATCATCGGGCATCAATCTCTATTTTCGTTGCTAGGTTTCCAACCGTTTCCAAGGTAAATGGATAAGCTAGTATTCAAACCTTTCCTCGCTTTCAACATTCAACGAAAACATTCTCTTTTTTATATATATAAAACATAGTTTCATAAGAAATGGTATAGTCGGAAAATAAGCTCACCAGGTTATTCGTACGCTTCGGCATTGCTCCGGGGTTTGCAGGAGGTATTGGCGACGTGCTTGCTGAATTTGAAGGAAGTGGAAGCTCTTGTGGCGGATTCGACGAGTTCGAAGAAACAGACGCTACTGATACAGACCTGGATGTACGTCTGAAAAAAATTTTTTACAAATTTTTGTATGCTGGTCACAATTTTCGGGGGGAAAATTGTTTGCTGTTGCTTTTCAAGCTGCTGGAAAGGGTACTATTGGAAGGAACGAAGTGGTTCAGATAGGTTATAAAAATAATATAATTTGATGGATATAATTAGTTTTAGAGGAGGAAAAAACCGATCTTCGTATGAGACTGAGAGGAAAATGAAATGTTGAGAGATAGGATTGAGGCGCTCTATTTGGAGAATGAGATAATACTAAGCTCAATAAGCTTATCATCATCTTTCCAACACAAAAGAATATCTTAAAAAGGAGGGAGACTTACCCTGCATGTAAATAGAAGTAGTTATCTTCTTCTGATGAAGCCAAATCATAGAACTCTTTATCACTTATTAACATTTTGTTAAGGAGGAATAAAAGACTTTCTATGGATGCTGAGGGAAAGAGAGAAAGGGGGGAGAGGGACAAAAGGTAAAAATGAATCCTCTTGTGTTTTAGAGCCAAAATATGACTATCATTTGCCTTATATGGGAACAAAATTTCTAAAATATAAGGATTAGAATATGCATTAACGATAACTCATTTTGCAGAGAGAGGAAACAAGTCAATGAATTGCGGGGAAAAGCATCTTTTATATTCTAAAATTATCAGAAAGATTTACGTCAAATGCTAAAAATATATTTTCGCTTCTCTTCTTCAGATTCAAGATGATCGAGGTAGGAGGTATCACTATCATCAGTTCTCATTTCCTCCCCATTCTCTCTCTGAACATCTTTTTCTCTTTCTCTACTCGACCTGTCTCTCTCATTTCTAGATTGTTTATCACTTTCTCAAAGTTCCTCCTCTTATTTCTTCTTCTCAGTCTCTCTATCTCTTCCTTTCTTTTATGTACTTCCTCACTATCTATTTTCTCATTCGGTTAATAACCATTCTTGAATGAAAATATCACTTTCTCTTTCCCGTCTATTATTCAATACACTTAATATAGTTTTTCTTTGCTCTTTTCATTAATAAGCTCTTTCTGATATTTAAAAAATGAAAGAAAAAGATCAAAAATAGCATAAATACCACAGAAGATAGCCTGAGAGCTGTTAAGAATGACGTCCATCAAACAACTACCCATCTGATAACATCTTTTTTCTTTCTGTTGTCATGGTGAATCCAACGTCATTGTATATCCATCCGATATCAAAACAGTCTTTTTCATTAAGACAACATTCACAAAATTGCTTTGAATGCCCTTTTGCAGAAAGCTTCACAGATGTTTGAGACTTCATTGCAAAATTAGTTGAAATGCTTAGACGACGGTCGTTCAGCATGCTTTCAATTCATTTTTTCCCTTTCAATTTTCGCCACATCCCAAATTTGCATACACTCGACACTCATAGTTATCACAAACACATTTAAATGAATTGATAACGTCACAAACGAAACACCTAATTAGCATATCTCGCAGAGTCGGGGTTTAGCACATATCTAGTCATTTTGATGCAGACAAATGAGCAATGCGGTTGATGTGCAAAACCTCTCTCTTCCTCTCTCTCGGATTGTACGACTTTATGTTCAATTGAACGCAGAAAACTTGAATTGTGTGCTACAGACTACAATAAGAAAGAAACCCAAAGCTTGGAAAAAGATTCCGTTCATCGTTCACGCTTACCAAAACAACATCTCTTTCTTCTGAGATATGCATAAGTCGTTAATGAAGTTGAACCGTTTGAATGAAATCTTTTCTTCTTCTTAGATTGATATTTACAAAGGAAAGATTAACGACGAATTTGTCATTCGATCTTTATCTTCTTACTTTGGTGAAGTAATCTCTTATTGAAAAGTTATTGCCTAACTTAGAATCGACACGTGAGGGGATCAAAGAAAATTTCACCAAAGAAACGTATGAGCAGGGCGAAAACATTCAAAGCTTAATAATTCAATGACTTACCCATCACTTGAAGCTTTAACAGGTGTTGGAGTCCGTGTTGCTGTAAAACCATCAGATTCTTTGAAGCTCCGCCACATCAGTTGTTCATAAGTAAATGACAAATATCTTCTATTCTACTAATATGGATTCTGAAAATATAATTGATAAAGGACGACTTGGTGTGAAAACGAATTCATATATCCGACTACAAATCAAGGAAGAAAGTTAGGGTTCAGTCATGACTACAAGTTCACATGTATAGTTTAGAATGAAGTGAACGAAAGAGTTTTGTTGCTTTTCCTCTATGGGATTGAGCAGGTTGGAGAAGTTCATACAAAAGCTCTGATAACTATTGAGGAGATTATAAAAACAATCAATAAATAGTTTGTCTTACAATTGAACAAGGCAGAAGGATATTGCCAAAAGAGCGGGAAGAACCATTCGAATAGACCAAATCGTCATTGAGGTGTAAACAGAAACTGACTACATTTGGTATTGATATAAAAAAAAGTATGAAAATTCAATAATTCGAGAAGAGTCAAAGACTGACTTAATGAATTGATTCTTCACTGCTCTCCTTACATCCCCTTATGCTATGTATCGGTCGTTCAGAGCTTACCTTATAAGGCTTATGTTGATAATAATAGTTAATTCGATGATGTATGTATCATGGATTTTTGAGTAATATTTCTTCGAAATTATACTTCATATTGAATAACAGCTCCTTCATTTTTCTCGTTCTCTCTCTCCTCTTGGTTGTCATAGAAATGAATTTATTTTCAGAGAAAAGCGTGGTCGAAATGGAAAATGACTGAAATTAATCATTTTCATTGATTTTCAATTCTTTTTTTTTCTCAGCTTTATTGGATGATAAAGGAGAAATCAATCAGTGCAATTTTCTTAGCACGATTGATGACCTGCACTTGCTCTGAAAGAGAACTCTCAGAAAAATAATTGAAGAGGGACTGAGAAAGAAGCCTCCAATCAACTAATCTTTGCTATTGTTTCACATTTTAATTAGCTAATATTTATGATTAAATCTTTTCATATTTACATACAAATTGTGAAAAAAGAGGTTTCAATTACCACAAGAGGAACTCGTGTGTTCAAGGAAAGGAAAGAGTATTTGGAAGAATAAACGGCTCAAAACTTCTCCGAATACAACAGCCAGACAGAGCCACACATTGAAAGTCATGAAAATCAGCATTAAACAATAACTTAAGAATAACTGGACGAAATGAAGAAAACTCTCAAAGATACTAGAGCTCGTGAAAGTGGGGTTTAATCTGAAAACAGAGAATATTCAAATTATTTTGAGTTATTTTCCACCTGAGACGTTGTTCAGGAGTCACATCTGAGCTCAGAGACTTCTGAACTGAGCGATATTGCCTCAACCATCTGATGGTCTCCATGATGAAACATGTAATCAATATAGCAACACAAGAGAGCACCATTCCTTAACCACAATATAAGACGGAGTAGTCATTTCATTTTGATTTGTAAATATTCCGATATGCAAAGCTAATATCAGTCTTTCTATTTATTTCTACCTCCTTTGTTTTCAACTATTTTTCAATTAATAAAAACTTATCTGGACATTTAACAGGCAACATCTGCTTAAACACAAACACGCCAGTACATGCCCAATACTCTATACGCATTTGTTCTTGTATTAGATCACTCCGTTAAATCGTAGCGATCTATCTACCAATTGCGTAAGTAATAGAACCCTAGCAAAACTCAGATAGAAATCATCACCGTATCTCAGTCGAGTGTGACACTTGGTATCAGTTGTCTCTTGGCAATACAGATGCGGTTTGACAAGCTCTCATTGTAGCCTTGCAAATAACAGAATTCCTATCCACGCATAACTTACATTTACAAATCGAATAGTGAAAAACATACACGACGAAAGGTTGGAATATACTATGCACACATCATTTTTGATTATCTAGTAACTAATACTATTACTTTAATTGTCAAGTTCCTGTCACGTTATCTCTGAAGGTTGCGAAAATTACAGATATTAATCCCCTCCATATCTCCATAAAGTCTGAGCATGGGTGTCTTTCTTACTCCAAAAATACAGCAAAAATAGTTCTCACACAGTTGAGATCTTGTTAACATATTCAATCCACGTATAACTGACGTCAATTAATACATTTAAAATCCTCGTATGACTTTCGTCACTCGAATTCAACTCTTCAAAAAACAGACGACGACCGGTTGATATCTACCTCTCTCACCTTACTTCTTAAATCCTAATTGAATCTAATACCACATACTACTTTTCGAAAACTATAAATTATTAAATCCACTACCGAATCTCAGATGAGTTTTCAACTTGCGAAAAGTTTTTCCCTTATATGGTTTTTTCAGAATTCTGCTGGGTAATGGAATTTAAAAGAATAGGAATGGTTTCAGTAATCATTCTTCTTCTTCTGTTCAACAGTTTAACATTGATTCCTTTCAGAAAATGAAGACTACGCTGGGAAAACTCGTGTAAAGATAAGCCCTCCGAAAGGTCTGATTGAAAAAGGGTTTAATGCAGAAAATGGAAATTGAGCGCTTCAATGAACAATAGCCAAAATCAAACCTGCAACGCTATTGGGCATCCAAAAATCAAACAGTATCGTTTCCATTTTCCCGAAATGGAAAGACATAGCATGTCCCATATGATTAACACTGTTTTCATTGGGAGAGGCATGATCATGGTGATGATGAGCTGAATGATCCATGCTCTCTGTAAACAAACAAAGTAGAAGACAACCGAATAAATAAACAATAATACAGAAAAGACAGGAAAATTGAGACCAACTAGTCTTCTTGAAGTGCTAACGCTCAATAAAATCTAAAATACAATCTCTATCTGATTGTTTTAAGTAAAAATAGAAAACTTTTTAAAAGGAACTCTCAAACTTAATGAAAGATCTGGTTTTGTTGCCGACCCATTCAAATCATTGAATGTTTGAATTCGTACAGAAATCACAATCTGATCAACAAGTGAGAGGGTTTAGCCGAGTGATGGGGACTAACAACCTTAGGAATACATCTTCATGAGAATATGAGAATCAACTAGAACTATTGGCAGAATCACCCTGAAAAACAGGATTATACATCTTCGCTTCTCCATCTCTCTCTCACTTCAACACTTTTTCTGCCTATATCAGCAGAAACATTTTCTCTTTCAGATTCTCCAGTTTTGAATTGTCTTAATCTTTCCTGTAACAGTTAAAGCGAAACTTCAGTCAGAAACAAGTTTTCATCTAAAGGAATCTGCCACATACAGCTATATACCGTTTATGGCATTAACTGACGAAAAGAAAACGTAACAAGACAAAATTGACTGTCAATTGTTCTCCGACAAGCTTTCAATGTGATCTTCCTGTATAACAAACAGCTTGGATGAATAACGTCATCGACACAACATGCATACGTAAAGATATCTCAGTAGCAACAGTGGGATTAGTAGAATATCTGGTTTGTTTCGACCTTGAAACAATTCAAATGTTCATAATACTAAACAGAAAAAACATTATGGAAGAAGATGATATAACGAGGAGCTAATGCTTCCTCTGTCACTGCACCTGATCGCTCGTCTCCATTGTTTATAACCCCTCAGGTCGTGATCACATTCAAACAAACTAATGATGATGGTATGGAAAGATTGAAGTTCATTGTTGAAACGGATGACTGAAAACAACGTTTTAAAGAAAAACAAATACCTTTTTGTTATAAATTCTTACTCTCCTCATACCTTATATGTAAAAGTTCAAATTCGATATATTTTCTCGTTTCTCTGAAATTGGTATCATGCGACAAATGAATGAATGAACGAATCAGAAGTTACATGTGACTACACTCTCCCGTACAAATGTTGATGAAGAAGTTGATGATGACGAGAACTGCACAAGTTATTACTTCCGTTTGCAATCCTATTTCTTTTCATAAGATCCTTCTGTTGTTTTTCTCATCATCTTCATCATCACCATCACAAACTGAGTCCCTTCGATATATGAACTTTTCCGCACCGCTATATCGTCGACCCTTTCTCAGCCTAAATCTGAATCACGCTGTTTGAAAATTTTTGCATTCAAACATCAGAGACTATATTTACTCCTAGTCATGGTGTTATATACGCAATTATTGTACGCAAGTTTGCGACGTTAGTTTTAAAAAGCTGTCTCTCTTTGTATAATACAGAGTCTGAAATTTGTGTTTAAGATTGAATTTTAAGTATTTCGACAGTGAATGTTTTAGTACAACAGGATGACAGAAGTGCAGCCTGTGAATATTAACTACTCAAATCACTTCTGGGTATACACTCATTCCTTGTACAACACTCTGATAACCTTTACAGGGAGACAAAAATCATGGTTTTCAAATTCTTTATTACAATTTGAAAAAGGGAGAGGATGCTATAAATGAGGTTGCACAGTTTGTAAAGGAGAGATTAACAGTAGAAGAAGAATATACTAAATTACTGAATAGGACTGTGAATAGGGTGAGTCTCCTTTGCTAACTCACCATGATTCATATACTCATCCTTGAAGGTAGGGTCAGTTTTGTCTAATGGAAGCTCAATTGATACAGCATGGTCGCTCACCAAAAGCACATTTGAAATATTGTTGGATGTACAGACGATGATGGTTAAAAACTTGCAGGTTTCATTTCAAGTCTTTCGTACTTGTCACACTGTCCTCACTTACAGGATCTATCCAGAGAAGTAGCTAAGTATAAGGAGGAACTTAACAAAAATAGAAAAGAAATTAAAAATCAAACGATTGTAGATGCAGTTAATCTCATGCAAACGACTACTACTTGTCTTCAGAAGGTACGGTTGCTAACTCTCATAGTTAACTTTAACTTTCTATTGTAGGCCAAAGAGACATATCAAGCTCGCTCCTCCGAGTTAGACAAACTCAAAAAAGAGTCAAATCTCAATGTTAAAGAGATTAATAAGGTATCTCTGTAATAAAATGAAATTCCTGTGAATATGATCTTTGTTTTGAGGCTGAAACGAAGTTGTTAAAAGCTCGAGATGAATACCGGGCTTACATTGACAAGTACGAAGTCGTTCGTATTGATTTTGAAGAAAAAATGACGAGAGCTTGTGAGGTTTTCCAAGATCATGACAAGTTCGTTTTTTTGCTCTACTTCTTACATGTTTTATTGTTCAGAACGAACTACAGGACCCTTCATCGCTTTTTGGAACAGTATGCTGCTCATCACCAAGAAGCTTTCTGTAGTGCTCAACAAGTTTTGATCAATATTTTTGGAAAATGATAATCCTTTTCTCTTTTCAGCTTTGTGGACAATTGAGAGAATCTTTGCAGCAGATTAACATCGAGGAAATCCTTTTGCAATTTGCCACTGAGAAAGGCACTGGTACTGAACGACCAAGTTTGTTGAATTCACTTTAGTTAAAAAATTCTATAACATTTAAGTGCCTATTGCTCCTGAAGAGTTAGAAGCTTTAGAGTCTCTTCAAGTGTCTGTTAATGTCTCTGCCCCCTCTGTATCAGTCACCAACCCTAATGCTATTCAAGTAATTATTGAATCTATCATGTCATCCGTTTTCTTATTAAGTCCAATCCTGTTCCTCCATCAACTGCTTCGAACGACTCCCTCACGCTAGGGGATTTGGAAAATTGGGGAGGTGCTGAGAAGAAAGCTACAACTCAGGTCAGTTTCTTTCAAAATTTCGATATACATAATGCCGCTCAGAATTCACCGACTGACTCCCAAAATAGTGATTCTACCGTAGGAGCTCCAACATCTATTTTCTCATCTTCGTTGGGAGGTAATGGACAGAAGAAGTTGTCGATGTTCTTACCTAAACGGAAAAAAACTGTCTCGCAGAGTAGTATTGGAGAAGAAACAGAGACCACCGGAGGTTTTTTTCCCGACGAGTTCAATTTATATTCAAATGTTAAAGGATTATTCAAATTTCGTCAGAATCGTCGATCTAAAAAATCTACAACTGATCTCACAGCAGTTGATAGAGCTGAAGCATTAGGGTAAGTGTTCAAGGAATCATCTTCTGAAGTTTTCTCGTTTGATATTTGATTAGATATCACCTTATCATCACGTATCCTTTCTCGATTTTCCCTTTCTCTTCTTATTCTTGGCTGATGATTTCTTTCTCTGCTGATGTGTGTGTGTATGTATGTATGTAGAGGAATTATTCGATTGATATGATTTCTAATATGTTTGTTAAGAATGGAAGATGCTCATAGTACTGCCAGCAGTTCAAAAAGTGACGATAAGGTTTTTTTCACTTTTCTTCCATAACTTCAATATCTTTCATAGCATCAGAATGGCAGTATTAGTCTGTTAGATACTCCTGTTGTTAATAAGCCGAAGGTTGACGACGAAGGTTTTTCTATTCCTCATATAGAGAATACTGACAAAGAAGACACGAATTGGTCTAGCTGCAGTAGCGACGAGGTTAGTAAAACTCTTCTATGGCCGAAATAGTATTGTTATAGGACGAAAATGAAATGCAACAGTCGAAAATTAGAGCTATCACTATAAAACCAGCGGATTCCGTGTCAACAATGAATGCTTCTGTTGATGAGCTCAGGGATGCTATAGGTCATATTTCTATCGGTCGGAGCAACACTTTTGACAAGGTGTGCAGTTTTGTCTTCACGTTTATGAGATACTTTCCTATAGGATCCTTGGGGAACTTTTGGTGGAAATAAACCTCCAGTCTTCTCTCAATCTTTATCAGGTGGAAGCTTGAAGCCTCTTCGACAGGCACATACGGGTGATGGACGGTTTCGTTCTAACTTTAGTGGTAGGTTCATGTTTTAAGGAAGCTCATTGTGTGTTTTTTTTAGAATCAGAATTCAGTAGAAGTAATGTTCCGTTAAACTTTTCCGCGTCCTGTGGTCCTGTGGCCGGAATGGCTCGGGCTCGCCCACGTAGTAACACACCGACCCATAACTCTAGCTTTGCTCTTTCTTCTCAACCTTCCCTATCGAACTTTAACAAGGTAAACGTCTTCATCACATAATCTCATATATCATTTCCAGGAAGCCAATGAAAGCCAAGATTGGGGGTCTTCATTTACTATTAATAATACGGGTTCACAGCATTCCCTAGGAGAGTCTTACTTCAATCTTTCACAATCTACAGCCAATTTGATGCAGGTATTCATTTATTTCTGTAGGAATCGAATGAAAACAGAAAAATAGGCTACAATAAGTGAGCAACGGGTTCCTATAGCTATGGCCATTAATGAATATGCGCATGTTTGGTTCAAAGGAGCTGAAACATCTGAGTGAGTATTGATCAAGTAATTTTTATTCTTCTTTTTTTTTACAGCAAAACGCAACGTAACTTCGGAACTGTGATGATATCTTTCGCTGTCTCATCTCTAGCATTGCTCACTGACATGCATAATGATATCGAGCCTCTTCAATTCTCATTAAACAACGCTTCGGGTATAAAAGCGATCCTGCCTAATAAACAGGTGATCACCCGTCTCATAAGATAGTAATACTAATTGGATAGTTTTAGTTACTCCTCCCTCCATCTACAGCTATAGTTCCGGATGCTACTTCTTATCTGTACACATTCGACAAGTTAGGACTAGCCAATTGGCTTCTTTCTCAACAAAAAGAAAAACCAAAATCTCCGTTTTTCAATGCTGAAGTAATATTTAGAATACGTGTCGTTCTTATTTCAAGTGTCTGTAGGTGTTGAGATATGAGCTTCATGAAAAGCCCGAGGGAAACGATCCCCCTCTTTTTCTAACAGCTTATTGGAAATGCGAGGATAAACATACTGGTAACTCATATCTTTGTTTCATCTCCTCATTATATGATTTCAGACCTACGTATTGATTATAGACTTAATGAGGACTCTATTAACACACTGTTGAACGTATCTTTCAAAACTAAAATTAATGCAAAAGTTTCCAATCTAAACTCAGACCCTACTGCTAGTTGGTAGTGCACGAGACATATCTCTGAAATTATTTAAAATTTGCAGGAACTCTGATACTTCAGAACTTGTATGGTCCATAACAGAACTTTCGAAACATGGAGAGTGTTCTGGCTCGTTAAAGGCGCGCATTCATCTTCACGATGGCGAAAAGACAACACCAGGCCAAACACATGCCCAATTTAATGCAAGTTTCTAAGTATTATAGCCAAATTTCTCCGTGATGCGCATGTTCTGCACGTGTTCTGATGTCGATCTCTATGATCATTAGCATAGAAGTTGAATGACGCGCCTTGAGGGCATGCGTGTCATTTGTTGTTTTGATTGGCTAACAAGCGGTTGCATTCTTTTTTCTATTTACCTATCTGCATAATTTTGTCATCTTCAGGGTGCTGAAATAATATCTGGCGTGAATGTTGCTTTGGAATCATCTGATACTTATCACCTGTCTATGATTCGTAAGAAGTTGTTGGCAGGAAAGTATTTTTGTGAACCAGAGATTCGAAAGTGAGGAAGAAGTGCAACGGATGTTTTAATTAATATGTGCTTGTTGTTTTGTATACTGCTTGGTATTATATTTATTTTCCCTTTCAAATATTTTCTATTTGTACATGGTGCTAGGCATTTTCAGATTTCTATATTGTACAAATTACTAATTTCAACCCTGTGAAATGTTTTATGAATGAAACTTTTAAACGCCCTAATACTCTCATGATGTCTTCGTAACATACGCAGTTTGTGGTGCCTTGTCACATATAAATAACAGGCAAACAACAGCGTTCTTTGTAGTTTCACCTAGAGCATGGTCCAAAGTCATTTTGATTACAATTTTAGTGATACTCTTACTTTCCACAGTGCACTCTTGGAGTTCCAATGATCTGTTGCTACTTGTTTACTCTCTTTTGTTCTGCAACTGCATCATTGATTATTGCCTGATTTCCCAGTGTAGTTTCCGCTCAGTTGTGTTCTTTGGCGAAAAGATGTAGTGTGTGATGTGAAGAGAGGATAGACGTTGTGCGTCAGTGGCTAGTTGTGTAAAAACAGGGCAAAACTAACAGAATTTATTTGAATTTCTTCTTTTATAAAGTTATGCGATTATCAGTTTTGTCATTGGCTCGCTTTCATTGTCATCTACCCGCGCTCTGTGGCCATCTGGTTGCTCCATCTAAACCTTTACCTCCTACTAATTTACACGTCTGAAAACGACAATGGCCCTTCATTGATAAAGGAATTGTCATCGTTTTTACATTTCTACAAATTTCTATTTATAGAATGTTCCTTCAAAACGCCGTCAGTTCATTGTTATCCTATTTCCAGGTGCGAGATGATTTCGTATAATTGGAGTGTATTCTCAATCATTTTCTATTGTCTTTATCTTTTTCTAACCGTGTGTTTTCATAATTGCATAAAGAGAAATAACGTTGCCTTGAGTTTAGCCCTCTGCTTCTACAATCATGAGCAATCGTGCTGTTGCCGTCATCCGCGGAGAAAATGTTACTGGAACCATTTGGTTCAAGCAGGTAATCACTTGCATTACACTTTCCTTTACTGATAGTTGTGTTATCCAGGATAAGGAATCTGACCCATGCGTAATCGAAGGCGAGATTAAAGGTCTGAACCCCGGTGATCACGGATTCCATGTTCATCAATATGGTGACTCCACCAATGGATGCCTTTCTGCTGGTCCTCATTTCAATCCATTCGGTAAAACCCATGGAGGACCTAAGGTATTCACAGATGGCCACGTGTTTAATTCATCAATATAAATGTAGGAACCAATTCGTCACGTGGGTGACTTGGGAAATGTTACTGCTGGACCTGATGGCGTTGCCACTTTCAGTATTGTTGATGATCAAGTTAAGATTCATGGCGTAAATTCCGTTATCGGACGAGGCCTCGTATGCCACGCTGGCGTCGATGATCTTGGTAAGTTTCGTATTTTATGATCATAGTTTCTAGTTTATGAACAACAATTCGATAACAAATGTTTTACAGGCAAGGGAATTGGAGATAAGGCAGAAGAGTCTGCGAAAACAGGTAATGCAGGAGCACGTGTTGCTTGCGGTGTTATCGCTGTCGCCGCCCCTCAATGACTAGTACCTGTTAACGAAATATTAACGAGTTCTATGTAATTTTTAAGGTACATCTTTCTTTTTGTATAACCTTCCTTTGTCTTAATAAAAAATATTTAATGAGCTCTCTTTTATATACAAAATTATTATAAAATTATGGCAGATTTAGTCATTGGCACTTGCTAGTGAAAATGGCACGTCTTGACCCGTTGTACAATCTCCCCATGAGGATGATTACATGCTGCGGTAGTCGCTGATAAAGATTCTGAAATAGAACTTTGAATCATCAAGTTAGTTTGAGTTCCATGGACACATTGACAGATTGACCGTAACTTAAAAGTAAATTATTCTTCATTAAAAGTATGTGCCAATTACGAACATTAATGCTTTGTACATAAACGCTTGATAGACTCGGGAAAAACGCTGTTAAAAGCTAGAAGGCAAGAAAATATTTGGAAAAACTATGATGGCAAGAGTAATCTTTGAGGCAAATGAAGAATATCGTCAGCTCACGTAACAACTACACAGGCAATAACAAATACTGGAAATGAACGTGAACTAATTTGAAAACTAGTCAGAAAACTGAAAAAATAAAACAAATATCGCTACCAGCATAACCAAATAAAAATAACTGATAATGGACGATACACATGAACTGAAAGTTCAGAAGCAGGCAGCCCTCGAAACCCGAGAGCTTAAAGTGCATCAACCATTCTCTATACGACATCTACGAATACAAAACATTCAGACATAGAACCTTGAACGACGATTCAACAATTTCATTTGAGGACGACAAGAAGCGCGACCATGCAACACTTCACGAACCATTTCCTGATTAATTAACTTTCGTGTATGGATGTGTTCGCTCATTTTTCAATTGAACTTTTAATCGTTTAGATCCTATCTGGAAGCCATTCATGGCGGATATAGCATTTTGAGCACTCAGTGCATTATCGTATGAAACAAAACCTAAATCCTCGATTATTCACAGTTAACGCTAAGCAGGGAACCCACCAAAACATTTAGATAAATTTGTAACTTTGTCTATGAACACCTTGGCAGACAGAACAGTTCCGAAGGGTGAAAACGTACTCATCAGATCGGAATCTCCAAAGTCCTGTAACATTCTCATGCACTCAGAGACAGATTATATATACCTGAGGTAAATGATAAATAAATAAGTTGGATCCATTAGGCCCTTTCACATCTCCATTACCAACACCTGCTGTTGCAGCTTGAACAGCAATGTTTGGATTGATGGCCGTCACTGAAAATAGCACTAGCTTGTTAGCATAGGTTTTTGAATTCACGGTTTTCACGTGATACACAGTACTCGGATCATTTATTTATTTTCAGTCGCACTGAGTGGTTGTCTCGTTTTTTTTTTCGCGGGAGAATGATTCTCACTCTCGCGGTAAACGTATATTATCGGTTGTACAAAACTAAAATCATCTTAAAAACTCACAGGCATACTGTTGAATGGCTTGCTGTAATGGGTCAATAGCTGTAGCAGTTTGTCCCATTTGTGCAGCTATAGAAGGTGTGGTGATTGCTACAGGAGATGCAGTTTTCAAACCGTTTTGAGATAAGACTCCTGAAAATAAGAAAATTTTTTGAATTCATCGAATCGCCTACCACCGCCTGCTGTTTGATAAATAGGATTGTGAACAGCATAAGCGTTGCCACCGGTAGTTGATGCAGCCACTACATGAGCGCCTTGGTAGGATTGATATGCTATATCTGAAACTGATTTAGAGAATGAAATTAGCTATGAAAAAAGTATTACTGTTCGCCTGATTTTGATCCTGAGTGACAACTACAGCGGCAGCAGCAGCAGCTTGTTGCTGCTGTTGCTGCTGTTGCTGGCTTAGTAGGGCAAGCATTTGTTGCTGCTGCTGAGCCAGCTGTACTTGTTGTAACTGTGCTAAAGCATCTATCCCTTGCGGTTGACTTTGTTGGAGCAAAGCAGCTGAAAGCAAGGATTAAGACTATCTTCAAACTTAGTAAAAAAAACACATGCTTGACAAAAGTTGATTATTGTGAACAACAATGCACGCAGAAGAGTTCTTGTCAAAAGCTAAGTGACATGCTTCTAATGATCTAAAGAGGAACAGAAAGCCAACTCAGAAAGAAGTTCACAAAACTAGCACAACACCAAAAGTAAGAACTAATATGGCCAAGATTACCTAATTGCGGTAGAATGTTTTGTATGGATGAATTGCTACAACTCTGGGATTGGTTAGATGATACAGAGATAATGCCACCATTTTCTCTATCTGACAATTTCCCCAGAGCCGACAACACTAAAACTTGTGCAACTCTCAAACTTCGGCGCGTTTTGTCAAATTTCGATACTAACGCCCTCAAGCAAAAGAACTCACCACTTCCTAGTAATCCCAGAACATTCTGCTGCTGGTTATTCTGTTGTAATAGAGCAGCAATCGCTGTCAGCGTTTGTAAATTTATTCCACTGCCATTGAGCTAAAAATTCACTCTTTCAGTCTCCTTGAGATGAGCTATAAGAAAACCTGTTGAATGAGATTAGTTTGACCAGATGGTGGTTGAGTGGTGGGAGTAGTAGTTCCAACCTTTCCTTTGCCATCTTTATCCCGCTGGGTGTCCGCGAATTTCACTACTAAAGGAGCAGTGCATCCCTGGAAATATTTACGCTTATCAGCATAGATGAAAAAAATCTTCGGTCTAGAAACTCAAGAAGATCCAAGATACATAGCCTGCAGCTTCTTCTTTTGACAGATTGTATCAAAAGAAAACTACTGGGTTCACTTGAAAAGGACAAGAATGAACATAAAAAAGCAGAATTATATACATTAATAATCTTTAGAGCTAAACAGAGAGAAACAAGAGACACTACCTCCATAGTTTGTGAATGATGCATTTCCTTCGTGGCATTAATGGCACAATTACGTGTAGCAAACGTGACAAAGGCACATCCTGAAACAATCGACGCTGACATGGACATCAACTACGGAAATACAGTTGTAGCCAGAAAATTATTCAGATATGAAAGCGATAAATTAATTTTACACCACTATTTGGAAAGTCAAATTTCATGGAGACTCTTAGCCTCACGAGTAATGTACATATATGGCGTAACAAATACAAGCTCAAATTATACAAATACACTGAGAGTTGTGAAATTGACAAAAAGCTACAACTATTTGGAGGTTGGGAGAAAGAAGTTCGATTGGAGACCGTTGAACGCCACAAATGCACAATAAATTCAGCGATTTTTTGAAGAGGCAGTCGCGTACCCTTTTGGAGGTGAAACGAATGAATACTATAGAAGTTAAAGAAAACTAACTTTCGAAATAATGCAAAAAATTTTTTCCCAAAAACGCTTTAAGGTTTCACGCACATAAAACATGCATTTTCTTACAATTAAAGGGCGAGCATGGCTGAACATGAAGTTAGGAAGATTACTGACCTCTACTTCGATTATCTCCATCTCTCAGAACACTACAATCTTCTATGTGGCCAAACTTCGCGAATAATGTTCTCACATCTTCCTCGGTATGTTTTTTAGATAATTGTCCAACGAATAGTTTCCTTTCTGAAGCAGGGATAAAGTGATTTGAAGCTATGAGTATCGGACCATTTCTGTTCTCAGTGTCGGCAGGCTTCATTTGCACCGGGTGGTGCATACCCTCTATCACTTCAATATTATGTAAAGCGGCCTGAGCAGAAATGGAATCCTTCCGATGGTAATATGTCACAAAACAACATCCTGAACTAATGAACTTATTCTCGAATAGTGGAATCTTTACCTTTACTACTCTGCGAAGCTTTATCTCTTAAAATATTCAGAGAGTATACTGGCCCATACTTTTCGAATAATTTTCTACATTCTGGTTCATTCCAATGACGGGGAATCTGCAAGTAGATAATACCAAGAATAGATATTTTCCATGTTTTCTCCACACAATGAAACTCGGCTTTAATTCTATCTACGAAACGGGTAGCTTAACTGCTCGAAAGCCTAACACACAGAGAAAAGGAGACTTAGTTGTCTCACACGCAGCCAAAATTCATAAGCTCCTTTTAACTCTCTGGACCACTTCGCAAAGACTAATTCGACGTGTGAAAATTGTTCTCAACAGTTCCTTCTCTTCAATTATGATGATTGGAAGTGCATAAGTTATTTTGAAAAGCGGCGCTATTTGAAATCTTGTCAAACTTGTTATGACTTGACCCAGTTGTTAGAGACTACGTTGTCACGACGCAGATTGGGACATCACTTGACCCTATTTTTGATCAATCGCTGCATTCTTCAAGGACACATTTTACTACTATCAATACTGTTAAAACGGCTGGTGTTTAAATGATAACTGGAACACAAAACTCAAACTCAGATACGTTTTAGGAAAATTTATGGCAACCGCGGCGGAAAGCTATAAATTTGAGTTATAACAGATGGAAAGATTGTCGGGACAACAGATAGCATTTATTTCCTTCTTCCTCTCTTATTTCTTGGGCATTATACCTAACACTCAATATCTGCTACAGCCTCTTATGTTCTGTAATGTTGTAATAGGGGATGGCTCTAATATTCTGAACATAAACCAGTAGTGAATAAGATATTTTTTGCCGAAAGAATCGAATAAGCTCGTTTTTCACTGAAACAATTGCTAAGTATAATAAGAACAAAGATGCTCGTCTCATCGCTTCCAAAACAATAATAGTGAGCAATCCGATACAAATAAGGTAGACTATACCCAATTCGATTACGATCTGGATGTAGCAATATAAGGCATGAAGTCTACATTGGCACACGAACTGGATCATTTGAATAGTCGTATAGTTATACATTTCAGCTTCACACGAAAATTCGAAGACATACTAACCTGTCCTACAAACATTTTAATCGTATCTGCATCTGGCTCTGTCGTACAAGGTTTTGACTCTTCCATATCTTTCTGAAGAAGAATATCATAATAAAACACCACAAGAAACAAATATAACACATGACAAGAAAGAGAAATTCTACGTTTATGTTATATAGGATTGGCTTAACTGAAGCTAAGTGCAGACCTACGTCCCACAGGACTTGTAATGGCTACGCAATAATAGAATCCGCTGTTCGTGGAATGTGAGAGGACAAAAGTAAGGAAGATGTGTCTTCTACTGCGCAAAACTCCGCCTCAACAGCTGGCAGGCTAACACCAGACAGAAAACTTTTCTATAGATGATGGAATAATCGATTGTTTAAGAGGTCTACCAGAAAAACACAGCTATCGTTTAGTAGAACAATTGACAAAAACGAAGGTGGGGGAGTGTCAGATTGTCACAGAACGACTCCGATTATGAGATGATTTCAAAAACTTGAGAGTAATACAGTAAATAGGAGTATTCACACAAGATGATCTATATTGAAGGGCATTTTACAAAAGAAATAACATTTTAAAATTACAGAATAGGGAAAGACCACTACAAGTACGTCGTTTAGGGTAAAACGAAATAAAATCAGCTAGGAAGGATCTAATGCGCGGATGCGAGTGCATTGAACAAATTAGGAAGCTACAACGGAAGAATGAAGAGGGTGGAAAATAGACTTAACAAAATGGATTCACAAAGAAATAGAAATTTTGACCTATAGATCCGCATACTCGGTGCGTCACGGAACTTCCTAGGATCACGAGCTGCCGAGGGAAATACCACTTATCAAAGCAGGAAATTTTGCAACACTTGGAACCGAACATAGTAAAGAGTAACAAAAATTAGTAACAAAGACTATGCGCATATTAAGACGTGAAAGAAGAAACTGCTGGTTAACCACGTACACTTTAAATGACAGGTTAGTGTATCGGATTAGGAAGAAAGATGCACAGGTCAACGCCGTTAGCATGAAACGGAGTGTTTGAAGAAGTGGAAAACAGTACAAAAATGCCAAAAATGGAAAAACATAACCATAATTGACGCCAAAACAGTGATTAATCAAAGAAGACAGGCAGATATATCATGAAATATGTTAATATGAAGAAAAACTTTGATGAGCATAAAAACACGATTCCTACTACATTGGAAGAGAAGAAGGATGGTATCCTTGTATGAAATGACATTGCAGGCCGATAGAAGAAGAAGAAGACGAACAGTAGAGACGCAGAGGCGACGATATAAAACGGGAGACATAAGCGACCCCTCAGATGTTAGATAACGTCAATCAATACTCAATCAGAGTAAAGATAGTTACATCTCGATATATATATATATATATATAAAGTATATACACATATTCATACGGTTATTCCTGATAAACGTTCAAGTTGAACGATAGAAGTAGGATAGGGCCAGGAAAAAATAGCCGGGCACAGAGAGCGAACATACTACGCTCCATAAGACTAAGAGAAGGAACACAAACGTTCGAAGAAAGTCAGTTAAGAAATTTGTAAAAAGAATTTCGCTCAAATGATTGAGAAGCCGCTCACCCTCAACTGATAGATAAGAATTATTTATGAACCAATGGTCAAATAGAGAGAAATGAAAACATTAAAAAAATCGGAAGGCAGGAGTAGAACGTTATGTCTTGCAGTTCGATGGAGAACACATAACCGATCAAAACTGATTCGATGCTATTGAAAAGGGACAGAGGACAGCAGGAGAAAAGTATCGACGACTAGTCTTATGATGGTCGGTGACTAGTTATAGTGTAGACAATTATAACTATTCCACCCATTAGAAGGAGAAATTTCATTTCACTCTTCCATAGTTATGCTACAGGATGCGTCTGAACTTGCAACAAAAACTATAGAACCACACGACTTATCCGAGGAATAGGACGGAATAAGAGGAAGATCGCAATCATATACATAGGAATTCCGATGCTTCTATCAATATTACGATTATTCATGTTGAATAGTAAAATATTGCGTATTCTTGAATAGAGCTAGCATCGTTATAAAAAAAGAACAGCATGGATATATTATCGAATTCGAACCAGGTCTCTTTCAGTTCAATACAAAACGGTTTTACAGAGAATAAACTTTAAGGTGTAGAGAGAGATCTAGTGATGATTATAATAAGAAAGTAGCAGAAAATAGAAGAAGGCGGTTGTAGTAGAAACAAAGAACTCACGGCATTTTTGCTGAATTGAGTATTGACTCCGCCAAGGTTAGTAGTTGCTAATTCCATACTTCAGTTAATACGTACTAATAAACACTTTTGTTTCCATTGAGATGTTCTTAAGTATTGCTCAGAAAGTCTGTAATAAGCTAAATTAGAAAAAAAAAGAGATTTTAAACATTTCGAAATATACAGCTTGGTATACAACCGCATACACTAATGCACAGAGTGAAAATGCGTTTTGATATAATCATACGCGCGACGGGACCATTTATCTTTTTTTTCCCGTAGATATATGTAGACCGTGTATAATGTATAATGTATGGTACATCATCGATACAGATAAATCGAACTAAGAAGCATGAGTACTGTTGTAATGTTGTTTGATAACACTAGGCAAGACTAACATGAGTGAATGTCCAATATGTGTCTTCTGAATTCTGAAGAAAAGCTGTACAACGCTATCATTTTAATCTGAAATGTTTCTTTTGTGTTGAAAAATAGTAAAATGGCCTTTGTTGTGAGTTTCGGTATGAATGCTAACTCTTGTCTGGGTGATGAATGACCGGTTTCGAAATGTTCGTATTAATTCCTTTAATGCATGGACATGCAAAATGCTTTAATCTCTATGGTATTCAAAAGGAAATATTGTTTTCTCTTTAAGGAAATAATTTTCTTGTGTTAATCGAATCCCTTATGTCTTTATATAGATATAAATAGATTTGATGTACATAAAGAAAATGAAATTTTTTGCATCTCATACATGGATGACGTCATTCGTGCATTCATCCTCTTGAATTTCCTCCAGCTCTCAGTTTTGAAAGGAAAAGGAAAGATTGATCAATCTTTCGGGAGATTAATTGGGAGCTGTAATAGGATACATGTATGTTGTGGAAGAATTATTAATGAGCAATACTTAAACCTTGATGAAACGCCCTCTTACATCCATTCTCACCCCTTAGTTTACACCTTTCATCCATCATGGCGTCTGGCATGAAGTTTCTATACTATTCTAAGAAGCCTGCTCACCGTACTTTATCAAACTCAATGTACGATTACTGTTCTCTGCTTTTCTTATTACATCAGTTCCAGATCACATGGAGATACGCGTCTGGAGGATTTCAAAAGACGATTTCGACGAAGTGGATCATTGGGCATTCCTTTTGTTCCAGAAGAAGATATCAAAGACCTCTTCACGGATAATGTAGCTTTTATTTAAGACTGTTAAAAAATTGCTTGAATATTCGCAGAACTCGCTAGATTCAAGTTTGTTTGAAGAAGAAGGTCGACCAATTCTCACTGTCATCGTTCGCTGTGATCGAGCAGTGAATGGCATTGCTGATATGATAAACAGCCTACCGGTTACACTATCGAATGAGAAAGATACTATCTATCGTTTTGAGGCCGGAACATCTATAAGGCATATGGAAAGCCGAGATTGTGAAGATGGCTCTATGGTTCATATGGATATCCTAGTAGAGCTAGAGTTGCAAAAAGGAATGAACAACCAAGACGCAATGAAGATTATGCAACGCCAAGGCTTGAACGTCTCATAAACTCAATAAATATTTGCTAAAAAATAATATTCAGGTATACGAGGTGTCTTTTAATATAACACCCGCAGTAACCGAGAATACGGAGAAATTCGTAGAGCCCGGCTCGAATGGTAGTGAAAGTATTTCAATCGATTCTCCACATCCTAATAGTTCAGATGCAACGACAGGATCTCCATGGTTTCCAAAAAATATTTATGACTTGGATATTTGTGCAAAAAGAGTTATTATGTATGGAGCTGGATTAGATGCTGATCATCCCGTTTGAAATTATTGAAAATAGTTCCTCTTCAATGAAAATTGCAGGGATTCAAAGACAAAGAGTACCGCGATCGCCGAATGATGTTTGCAGACGTTGCTCTTAATTATAAACAGTAACAATGATACTGCCATCTATGACAAAAATATTGTTTTAGTGGAGAACAGATTCCTCGTATTGATTATACGGACAGAGAGAAGAAGACTTGGGGAATAATCTATCGTAAACTACGTGAGCTACATATGAAGTACTCATATGTTCGCTGACTTTATTGAACTTGATGTCTTTCCAGATATGCTTGCCAGGAATTTCTCGACAATTTCGAACTTCTTGAACGCCATTGTGGTTATTCGGAAAGTAATATTCCTCAGCTGGAAGACATTTGCCGATTCTTACGAGGTTATTGTTGTTGAAGATAAGTATTTGATACATCTTTGTTATCTTCAGCAAAGACAGGTTTTCGTGTTCGTCCTGTTGCTGGTTATCTGTCTGCTCGAGATTTTTTGGCAGGCCTTGCTTACAGGGTATTCTTCTGTACTCAATATGTCAGACATCACGCAGATCCGCTCTATACACCCGAGCCGTGAGTAGTTACTAATCCATGATACGAACGTGTAAAGTTTGAAGGGATACTGTTCATGAGCTGATGGGACATATGGCCTTGTTCGCTGATCCCGACTTTGCCCAGTTTTCACAAGAAATAGGACTGGCTAGTCTAGGAGCTAGCGAGGACGATTTGAAGAAACTTGCAACGGTATCAAGAGTAATTAACAAAAAAGGAACTTTGCTTGTACAGCTATACTTCTTCTCCATTGAGTTTGGGCTTTCATTCGATGGTTATGAGACTGAAAATGTAGGAGATAACCAAAAAAGCCAGAAAACTAAATATAAAGTTTATGGTGCTGGCTTATTAAGTAGTGCCGGAGAATTATATGTAAGGAAATACTCGTATTGAAAACCATTTCAATTCTAATCACTTCAATTGTTCAGCATGCCGTTGAAGGCAATCCAACAATTTTACGTTTTGATCCAGACAGGGTTGTTCAACAAGAATGTTTAATTACAACATTTCAAGAAGCTTATTACTTCACTCGAAATTTTGAGGAAGCTCAACAGAAGCTCAGGTTTTCTATATTACTCAATTTCACCAATTTTTAATCCTGTCTCTCATCATTGCCTACTTTTTCGTTCGAGCCATGTATTACTTAGTAATATAGGCTTTGAAGTAAGATGTTCAGAACCTTAAATCTCTGATACAGAGTATAAAAAGAAGAGAAAAACTCAGAAATACACTCTAACTCTTGTCTATTTGAAGGATGTTCACAAGCAGTATGAAACGTCCGTTCATTGTTCGTTACAATCCATACACCGAAAGTGTGGAGGTAAATTTTGAAAATCTTCAAAATTACAATGAATTTCAATTTCATGAAAATTCAAAATGTGAATTATTCATTTTTATTAAGTTTTCAAATTAAGGTTCTGAATAATAAACGATCACTTATGTCAGCAGTGAATACTCTTCGTTCGGACATTAATCTTCTCGCTTCAGCTCTTCATTATGTGATTTGAGTATACCCTTGTTACATTCCCATTTATCTTTGTATCAGTATTATCAATAAACGTTTAGTTAGGATGCTAATTTTCATCTTTCAACCATGCTTCTTATAAGATTCTAAATAACTTTTTAATTTGAAATAAAAACAGGGGAATCACTGATCTGGCAATCGTGCTGAGACTAGGATGAAATGAAGAGATATTTTCAATTATTTCGTTTTTTTCCGTGACTTGATGATCTCAATCGTCATGCAAACTAATTCTGAAGATGATCATTTATTCAGTGAAGTCTTGGATGTTGAAATATGACAAGTATCAATATATATATATATATATATATATATATATATTTATTTATATAGAGCGTTACATAAAATATTCTATTCCAACTTCTTCTCAATTAATGAATTTGCTTTCTTTTAATGACATTCTCTCCTTCGTAGTTATGTATTGGTGGTATTAATGTGTTTGACAAATCAGTTTCAGCTGTGGTCTGAACTCATGAATCGCCTCTCACGCACTCCCATATTCTATGCTCTTTCTAATTAGAACTTTTTCAAAATTCAAAACTAGCAACATCCTCACGCCCTTTAACTTATCGCATTTGAAAATGAAACTACCGTTCAATGCATGACCATCTAATAGAAATGAATCGTTTTGTGCGTCTTACGTGTGGCCACGTGGAAATTCCACGTGAATAAGTTATGTCTTTCACTCATTCATCATTTGAAATTTGAGGAAAAGCTATGAAAATGTCTCCTAAAATATTTGAAACTTCCATCAAAGTGTCATTCCTTCGAGAAATACATATTTATAGTGAGTTCTACATCTTTGATAAAGATGAAGAAAAAATATATTTTGGAACATTTCCATTATTTCCTATTCGAATGAATGAACTTAGAAACATATTAATTCCTTTATGTTTCACGTTATACGATTCGTTGAGCTAAATCCCAAGGAAAAGTGCTTTTATCGAAAACCTCTTCTCGAAATGTCTATTTGTTGTTATTAAAGGCTTCATCCTGAAAAAAATAAGGAGGAAGATTACGTCTATTGTCCGATGTTTCTCTTAGAATATATTCATTGTTTTTTCAGATCAAGTAATGGTTGAGTTACAATACCTTGAGCCAGTTCCTATTATTCGAAGCGCGTTGACGAAATCATGTGGAGATCTGATGGATGCTCTACTCTATCTTCATCGGCCGGTTAGAGATTTGTATTTTGCTTTGACAGATAGGTTGAACTTGCCCGAGAAGATGCAAAAGTGAATAAGACAGAGAGAGGGAGGCAAATCTCGTAATTTCAAACTAAAACTTCCTGACCGTCAGATTCTATATCCATTTTTGGCTAAACTTAGAAATGACATCAACGTCGTAGGTAAAAAGCCCTGAGGGCTATGTCAACATGCTAAATTGACTTTGTCTTTTCGTCTTTCGGCCAATAATTGTAAAATCAGTTTTACTAATGTCTCTTCTTGACACTCATTAAGAAGAAAACTGCCAGCTTCTTGCAAAAGTTCTTATTCATAGAAGAGTTGCATTAGTGAAGCAGACCATGTCATTCAATCCTCACAGAAAATACTCGGTAAGAATAACTTATTAATTTATTGTTTTTCAATCAGTTGACTACTCTCGATGAATGATCAACGCTTTGCTATCGGCCAAATGGCTGAGAACAAGTTCTTTAAAATTGTTTTACAAAGCTTTTCTTCGTTCTAAAATAGAACAAAAAAACAAATACATATTTCTGTTCGTTTGCCCTGTCCCCTGTAGGTTCATCCGTAGTCATTACTCTGTCTGTCCATTCTGTTTCCATCAGCCAATGTCCGTCCGTTCATCAAATTCATCGAGAATATGATTCAAAAACCGGCTTATATGGTTAATAGTATTAGCATTGAATTGGTTGTAACATATTCTCTTTGTTTCTCTCATTTTCCTCGTTTATTTTCATTCCCACCTCTATTTCACCTCTCTCTTCCTCTCTGCTTCTGTATTTTCTACCAAAAACTCACAAAGGTATGAGAGAGATATTTAAAGTGGGGGGAAGAAAGAGAGAGAGAGAGAGAGGGAGAGAGAGAGAGAGAGAGAGAGAGAGAAAGAGGGAAACAAAGAAGAGAGAGAACTTTTTTCTATTTTCGAAAAAAACAAAACTTACTTCTTTTTTCTTTCACTGTTTGATTAATTCTTATTCCCTATCATCATCTGAACTCCAATCGAACTCGATGCTCAAGCGATTGGTGAGACGAAAGCAGAAGGTAAGATGTTTAAGCAGAAAATCGGTCATTTTTACATAAAAACTTGCATAAAAATAGACTGCTCAATAGAATTTCGTTCGATTTTCATATCAAAATTAGAAATATTTAAAGAAGATTGTTATCTATAGCACCATCCCTCCCCCTTCTAAGCATCATTTGATGATTCATGTGCCAGCAACACTATGCTTTCAGCTTCAACACAAATTAACAGTAAGCAAATTCAAAGTTAAATTAGGCTTATCCTCGTAGTTATTCCTCTGTTCACCTTTGACATCCTTTTGCTACTGAAGCAGAAACTAACTGAAGCTGCATTTTGTAAATTTAATGCTTTCATGACAATAATTTTCTTATCAAACTGTTCTTCTTTGTATCTTCCGCTTATGAACAACGAAGAGCAACACCTTAGGTTCTTCATGCACCATGTTGACATTCAAGCAGAAGAATGATTCGAAAAGTGAAAAGTGTATGAAAATGTCTGGAAAGTTGAAAGCATCTTAATGTTTCACCCGTGTGAATACCTCATAATCTGTTTTAAGGAGCAGATGAAAGAGGCTTCCGAAAGGAGGTCAACTTTCGCTCGAGTGCCTGCCAGATCCGTGTCTGCTCCACCGAGGAAAAAATGGTTTAAAAGAAGTATGTAGAACTAATGTATCTATAAATATAAGTGTCTTTCGCAGGCACGGGTGCTTTGGAAAGATCAAGTTCAAGCTCAAACACTGTTCTTTGCGACGAATTTACTCGAAAGTTGGTTGGAGCAATCACAACCTGGCATGATATCCATAGTAACTTGCTACGTTTGAGTATAGGCAAGAGATCGAACAAAGAAGTGGAAGTTTCTAAAACTTTTTTCAGACAGAAGTAATTCTGAAAGTTCGATCAGCAGCCGTTCAACAATAATCTCTGACGAAGAAGAGGCAATCGGTAAGATATTCACTACAGCCGTTAAATTGGCAAAGTAAACGTTCTTCTTACTCTTCCCAAGGCCATAAGAAGACTTAATTTGTTGATAAGTTAGTAAGAACAAGTAAAAAACATTTTTAAGATGAGACAAATCCGAATTGTCTTTGTGCGCCCCAGGCAAATAATCGATTATCAATATCAAGTCCAGAATTGACTTCAATCCAAATAAAACAAATGTTTCCTGAGCTAAGTGAGCATTGGAGGTGAGACACGCACGAGAAATGAAAGTCAAGTGCCCGGAAAACGGTTTCAATTAAAATTTCAGCTAAAAAAAAGAAAAAAGTTGTTTGTTGACAGAAAAATGGGAAAGGCTGCAATGAGTTAATCTCTTGTTGTTTCCTTCTTGAATAATTCAAATTCTTCTTTTCTTAGATATAGAAATTGCATTCAGCGTTCTGGAATAGTTGTTAAGAACTTTCTTTTCTACTCATTTTGCCTCAGCCTCCCACATGAAGTTCTTCTGGGTAGAGATCATTCATTCAGCGCATCCGATACGTTTTTCTTTTCAAAAATTCATGAGACTTCTGTGAATTTCGAGAAGGAAAAAATTGAATTTCCATTCAAATAATTTCATTTATTAAAAGCAAATTATTTTTTTTATTTGCCAATTTCATTAGGCTTATCTTTGATTCCATGTGAATTTCCAATTTTCAAACCATCTGGAGCTGACAATCTTTTCGGAGAAAAAAAAGTTTTCTCTCTCTCCTTGTTATATTCTAGATAGTTCATATCCATTAATTGAATTCCTAATCGATTATTCATGAGCTTGTCTATATCTCATATATGGCTTTTTGAGAAAAAAATGTTGGAATAAGAAGATAAAATGATTGTTCTTTGTTTCCATACAAGGCTATGGGATTCTCTTTCATTTCTACTCTGCCTCTCTTTCTTTATTACCTTCTATAGATATCATACATATAGTATATTGGTTTATATCCTACTCTGTGTCTCTCTTTCCTTATACTCTCTCACGTGGACATTTACCTTTTTCACGTGAATTCACGCGAATTGAGCATTTCATTTAATACTAATGCATCCATACCGATCGGTTGTTCCATTTCTCTCACCTTTACATCTTTTTATCTTCATTTCCATTTTCATACTTTGATGCTTCGAAAGACAAGCCAACGAGGCGGAGCTATGTGGTCACTGTGAGCTAAAGGTATATTTCGTATTAGACGAAAGAGGAATTTGAGAATGAATGAGAAAGAGAGAACGGAGAGCATATAGACAAAGTAATAGTGAAATAAAGAGATCAGATATGTTAGTTTCAGCTTTTCCTTTTGCTTTCGTTGGTTGGCTAAAACGAAGAGTGAGATCGAGAGAGAGAAAGAGAGTATAGGAGAGATGGTTGCCGGGATAGAAAAAGAGGAGCTAAAGAAGAATCTCTGCTTAATCCGGCTTTCATTCTGTCATAGCCCTCTGTCTGTGTTCTTGTGCAGAAATTATTCCACAATCATTCTATTTCTCTCATCTTACACAATTGACTTTGTATGGTTATGGAGTAAAAAAGGAGAAAAAAAAGTTTTTTTTGATCTTCTATTCGATATCCAATCATCATCTTTATTCTCGTTCTGCCGTTTTGTGTTTTCTTCTTCTCTTGTTCTAGTTCAGTTTCTCTCTCCCTCCGTTGCTGTCATTCCTTTTTTATGTATATAAGTATCATATGTAATTCATATTTAAGTATGAAATATATTTATTCTTTCAATCCAACTTTTTATTAATCTTTTGATCATTCTGAACTTCTTTTACTGTACTTTAAGTATTCATCCATCTAGTTATCGTCATCCTTCCCATCTTCATATTTTGCTTCTTTCCCTCCCCTTCTCTTATATGCTCCCTCGTCTGCTTCTTTCTTTGTTCCTTTACTTTTCCAATCTCCTTAAATTTTTTTTGCTATTTTTCCACTTTCTATCAACAAAACTCATTCTACTTCTTCTTACTTCATGCTATAACATTTTTTTCTAACAGAAGAGCATTTTTTGGTGTAATGAGAACCTGATAAGTCATGATTGCTTTACGTAAGAACAGCGATGATGTTTTTTATCGTTGCCAGCAGCAGAGCAGCTCCGGAGAAACTTCTACTACACGTACATCTTCATCATCATCCCCCTCTCAACATACATCTGCTCGAACATCAACAACATCAACTAATATTTCATCATCTACGTCTAGTCGTAATTGTGGTTCTACGTCATCAGTTCCGTCTTCAAAAGAGAAGACAAAAGTTGAATCTCGTCGATCAACACCGATATGGAGGAAAAAATCATCACCAGCAAGTGTGAACCATCACCAAGCACAAGCAACTCCATCTTGTTCATCCACAACACATGTGGTAGTAAATAGCGCAACGTCTGTAGGTATATCGTCCAGCTGTGTTCCATCGTCCTCCGCATCTTCTGCTGTCGTAACATCAGCTCATACAGCAGCAAGTTCCCCAGAGACAACTCAACATCGCAAAAAAGTTGCGAAAAAGAAATCATCGTGGCGAGGAGAAGGAGCAGCTCGTAAGTTGAGTGAAGCCTTACCAGCAGCATTACGAAGTCCAACAAATATTCTTCGGCGAAAGAAGACACTTGGCCCAAGCCTGAGTTGGGACCCAGAGCATAGGTAAGCGTTTATACATTCCTTATTTCACATAATTTTTATTCTGTTAATTTATTCTTATGAGAATCTTTACGATAAGATGAGAAGTGTGTGATGCGAGGAGCTGCTAGAAGGATATTCTGAATAATAAGTAAATCTCATTTAATGAAAAGAGATCATGAGAGCTAAAGAGAGAGAGCAGAAAATTCCTTATTCGGTCAAGCATCATTTCCTTTTCCCATTTAGTTAGCTTAATGTACCTTTTCTACCAAAAGGCTTCTCTCTTCCTCACTCCCTTCTTTGCTCACTCTTTCCCAAGACCAACGTGATGAAGAGTTTGCAAAGATAATCTCCCAATAACCGGAAATTTCTCATTTCACTTCCTTTTCGAGCCATCTTCAATCAATGAATAATTATTTTAATAAAGCACATAAATGACATGAGACAAGATAGTTTTTGGCATTTTCGCTCATTCTGTTGCGGTTGAGTAAACTGGGCTTTCAGTTCAGTCAAATCATGCATAATCATTCGAATTCATGAGAGCTCTTGGTAAGGAACAAGGTAAGAGAGAGAGAGGAAGATGGAAAGGCTGAAAAGCTTATTGGAATTAAAAAAAGAAATCGTTCAAAAAAGAAAGAGTGAAAAAAAAAGGAACATTATGGGGGATAACGTAGATGGATGTTCAAGGCCACAAAAGACATACTGAGGGCAACAAAAGCTCGCAGAGATGACATTTTTTAATAGTTTTTGAATGTTTCAACAGAAATTTGAATAAATGAAGCTAGCCCTCCATCATTCATTGCAAATTGTGTCTCTCAATTCTCTTTTCTTACTTGTGTTCCCAATTTTTTAAAACAAAAGAAATGGGATTTCCAGCTTAAACCATTAATCGTCAGTTCATGTTTCTCAGAATACTAATAAATTTATAATGACCTTTTAGAAATGGACTTATGCGAATGAAAATATCCAACATTCCCCCTTTCCCTATTTCTTATCCCTGTCTTGCGAAAATTCCCCACCAAAAAATAAATATTTGAAATTGTGAGATTTTAAGAACTAATCTCTTTTTATCTCTACAGATCGAGAAGTCCATCACAAGTAAGCCGAAGTAGAATTCATTCTGACGGAAGCGAGGAACCACCGGCTCCAGTAGTCGCGTCAGCCACCAGTGAAGGTGAGAGTGACGACGAAGCCTTCGAGGGACCTCGTTTTGAGTTGGAGCTCAGCTGTCCTCACTGTGCTCTAGTTGCTGACTACAAGTGAGTTTAAATCTTATAAGTTTCGATAAAACATACACGTGTGTCTAATGATTCACTCTCACTACACCGTATATAAATATATACAGTACAAGTAAGACTCATCTCAATTCTCTTCGAATTTAGTTACGTTCGTTCGTTTACGGTCGATAGGTATCTCGTACGATTCAGAGTTAGTTCTCTGAAATGAGAGACAGACGAAAGAAACGACTTAACTCAGTTATTCATGAGTTTCCAAACATGAAAAACGACTGAAAAAGGAGTACCTCATACGTTCAACTATTCCTTGTATACTCTATGAAGGGTAGATAGAATGATAACAACAATAATAATCATAGTATATACATATTTTCTTATCTAATCATTCTATCCGATTATCATGTTCAGATGATATTAGATAGATGAAGCTCATATAGGGTGGAGACCCATTTTGCTCATTTGAATAAGAGATATTGTGTGAGATAACACGATTAGTCTTAAAAGCTTTTAAAATATAATTTTTGAAGGAGAACGCGATGAAGTCGTATGAAATGAAGGTGAATGATCTAGAACAGGGTTGTCTTCTTAAAATATCACCAAAAACTTTATTGAATGAAGATGAGATCATAAGAAACAGAACGGTTGAACGGTGAGATCGAGCAAACCTATGCTTAAGATGGATTAGTTGTTCACATCTGGTCTTCTCGAGAAAATTAAAGAAGATACTATCATAGACACTGGGTTAATGTGCCAGTTAGCTGAGCCAATGAAAACTGATGTACAATTGCATATATGATATGATTTATACACATAGTAAACTGTTTATGAAAGAAAATCAGGGAAGGAGATGCAGGCGACTTTCCGACTTTCAGGATTTAAAAATCATTAATCCCCTCTTTTCTCGAGAGGAACAAGTTTTTTGAGCTCTCTCCTGATTTTTTCTCATTTTATCCATTTTAGACGACGTTTGCTGAAAACGGAGCTCGAATCTGCAGTTCTACGCTTAGCTAGACGATTGGGTAACGGTCGCCAGCTTCGGGATGAAGCTATGCGAAATGGCCAGCCCGCACCTGATATAATCGGTAAGAAATGTAATTTGAATAAATATTGAGAGTTTTTTGCATTATTAGTTTCATCCATAAGTTCGGACGATGAAGACCGTTCGTATGAACGACACACGAGCAGTGAAAGAACAAGCAGTCTTCAAACGAGTGAAACAAAGTAAGATTTTTTAAAGTTGAATTGAAAAACTCTTGTTCCAGCTCTCCCTGCAGCTCATCCTCGCCGTCTCCTCGCATGTCGCGTAATGGAAATGATATAACATTTGATCATTCACCAGATGCTTCAACTCAAGATCTTCTACTGTCTCCATTTCGACTATGTCCACCAACTCTTTTATCACCAAATCCTGATACAAATTCTCCTCCAAGATCAAATTCCGTTGATTTATCAACATTAAGACGAGATATTGAAATGTTGTCAGTATCCTCCGGAGAGTCAGATGGAGCATCTGATGGAGAGTTTGAACCTCCAACTCCGGCAGAGAGTGTTCGAACTGTTCGCTCTAAATCACATGACCCGGCAGCCCCAACATCCGTCTTACGTAGACCTAGTCGCATAGAACATCTATCAGAATTATTCAGGTTTTTCAAAAAGAAATATATATGTATATACACAAAAGTTCAAAATGGCACTTGGCTTTCATTTCGCACTAGATTCAACTCTTTCCAACTTAATTTCAAATTTACAGAAAGGCATTAGCTAAATCACCTGTAGTTCGTCGATCAGCAGCTGAACAGGAAATTCGAACCGTTAACAAACACCGTACTAGCCGTTATTGGCAAGATGATCAAGTTCTGGTTCATCTATGTTCACATTATCTATGAAGAAGCTTCAGATGTTACCAGCAGAGCACATCTGGTTGCCATCTTCAGGGCCTGGCTCATCAGCCTCTGCTGATTCCGAATGTTATGTCGGCGAGAAGGATTGTAGAAAGCAAGGCAAATGTTTTTTTAAAGACGGGGAAAAAGAAAAAAAATTTAGGCGAGAAACGTCGTTGTGCCGCCTGTCATATAGTAGCTCATTCAGGATGTTCTTCTCTGTTATCAAAGGTTCATAATTACTTTAAAATACTAATTTTACATAAAACTTTAGTTAAATCTAAATTGTAAAACAACCTATAGAGATCATACAATCAAAAAGCAGCCAACAAAAGAAATGATGGATAATCTTACTATGCATCATTGGGTACATAAGGTCTGTTTACGTCTCATTAGCATATATTTCGAATTCTCCGTCAACGAAAGTGACGTGAGTTCAGTCACTGTCGTAGAGCCAATTAGGAACGGTTGCTAACAAAACAATATTTTGAAGTCATTGAAACAGTTATTTTAGTGGAGGCATGAAGGACGCTGCAACACTTGTGGTAAATCTTTCCAACAGAAGATGTTTAACTTCCAGCAAAAGGAAAAGAAGGTTTATATATTTTGATTTTTGTCGAAGTTATTTTGTTTTTCAAGGAAACAATTGCTGTAACATGCTCATGGTGCAAAGAATCATATCACGTCAAGAATTGTTTTTCAAGAGATAAATTAGAACAAAAGTATCTTGTCGTTATCATTTCACTGATTAAACGGAAGCTGTTACAGGTGTGATCGTGGGGTTCTACGTGATATGATAGTACCACCAAACTGGATTCTTCGTTTACCCAGTCGAAATAGAAACAAACATAAACAATTGAATAGAGCGAGTAGACGGGTATGTTAGATAATCTTTATGCCTAGCTGACAATTTTTTAGCCAACAAGACAGTTTATCGTTAAACCAACAGATATGTGGACAACAGGACCAACCCAACCTCTAGTTGTCTTTGTGAACCCAAAGTCAGGAGGGAATAAGGTATGTATGAAACTTCTTCGAATGTATCAACTATCTTTAGGGATCGAAAGCTCTTCACACTTTGTGTTGGCTGCTGAACCCACGCCAAGTGTTTGATATAACCACTCTGAAAGGGCCTAAATTTGGGTAAGTGCTCTCTCAGTTGAATTCATAATTCGATTTTTTCAGGTTAGAAGTTTATCGCAAAGTAGTTACCCAGTTGAGACTGCTGGTTTGCGGAGGAGATGGAACTGTTGGTTGGGTTCTACAAACTTTAGATTCTGTATGTTCACATATTTGTTTCTATTCATATTAAGTTTTTTAAGCTTAATTGGCCGGCGTATCCGCCAATGGCTATTATGCCATTAGGAACCGGAAACGATTTGGCTAGATGTATGGGGTGGGGTGGCACGTTTTCAGATGAACCACTTAGCCAATTGCTTCAGGCAATTCTGCATGAAACAACTGTTACTCATCTGGATAGGTAACGAAGTTGGTAGAAACTAGAATTAATTGGTTCATATAATTAAGATGGCGTTTGGATGTCGAACCCAACCCCACTTGTAATATGGATGCAACATCGGACGAAATATCCGATGCTGTGCAATCCTCTTTACCTTTAACAGTCATGAACAACTATTTTTCAATTGGGGCTGATGCTCATGTTGCCCTTCAATTCCATCATAGCAGGAGTAAGTTTAACACTGATAGTTTTCAATCAGTAGAGTGAGAGCAGAGAGTGAATGAACGGCTTCTGTTTTTTTTTGGGATGGTCATAATGAGAGTCAAACACAGCTGATGGTTAAAATAGCCACAACAATAATTCCTCGACTTAGTTTGTTCTATTTGAAACATTTTTAAGGTGCTAATCCTCAAATGTTGAACAGTCGTTTAAAAAACCGAATCGCTTACGGTGGTTTGGGGACGATTGACTTGTTCAAGCGGAGTTGGAAAGATTTGTCTGGTTACATAACACTTGAGGTTTTACAACAATCAGTACTTTTTATAATGCTTGATGTATTATAGTGTGATGGTATTGATATGACGGCTAGGATTAAAGAGATGAAGTTTCACTGTATACTCTTCCACAACATTTCGTACTATGCTGGAGGAACTACCCCATGGGGTAGCGACGCCAATGACGCTCAAAAGCAATCTAGTTGTGATGGCAAAATTGAAGTATTGGGCTTTACCACAGCTACTTTGGTATTTCTTCCTTTTCAAAACTTTGACACAGAAATTTGAACTTTAGGCGGCTCTGCAGATGGGAGGAAAGGGAGAGCGTATAGCCCAGTGCTCGTCAGTCAAGATAATTACGAGTAAAGCTATCCCCATGCAGGTAGGTTGGCATAACAGTCAAATTGCCTGACGCAACTTTTTTCCGAGTTTATCAACAGCATTTGATTTACAGGTTGATGGAGAGCCATGCTTATTAGCTCCGTCTTTCATTCATCTTAGTTTTCATAGCAAAGTTAGTCCATAGGGAACTATAAAATACTATGTGTGTTTCTTGCAGGTTCCCATGCTCAAAAGAGAGAAGAAACCTCCTTGCACACCAAACTTGATGAGAAGAAACACTCGGACACAACGGAAAGACTCACGGGTTCAGTCCACTTCTCTTATTATGCAGTTGCCAGTCGTTGTGGTTGGTAAACATGATTACGATACTTATAAGGACTGTTTTGAACGACTTAAAGACACAGGTTCGTTTGGAATAGAACCAAACATGTTAATCTTTCTGTTAAGCGTATGAAATCGGAATAATAAATGTCGAAGCTGAATCTGAGCTTGACGATGTACGAACTCAGATTCTGAAAATTCTTCTTGATCATCATTCCTTGCCATATGCTCCTTCGAGAGATTGGCGTTTTCTTGATTGTAAGTTCATGACACACTTCTTTCATCAGTTCTTATTAAAGATGTAACGAATGCGGAAGAGGGAACTTTTCGAGTATCACGTCATCAAGAAAAACTGCATAGCATCTCAGATATTTGTAACCCGGATGAATGCTTATTAATTCTTGATCATGCTTTTCCATCAATCACAGCTGTAACAGAAGTTGTTCAAGATATATCTTTCAGTAATAACGGGTAAGTTAGATCGTTATGAGCATTTTCATTTTTATCTCTAGTGAGCCATCGCCCATGACAACTCCACCACCACGAAAACCGTGTCAACGTCGAATCTCAGAAACCTTACGTATTGTTCTAAGTTCAGATGCTCAAGAAACGCATTTATAAGTTTATCCAAATCTTAAAAAAGCCATCTTGCCTCTTTTATGTTTTTATCTCTTTGTTTTGGATTCATCAATACCTCTTCATCGTTTCTTATAAACCACTGATCACTTGTCAATCAATATGTATCATATATATGTATTTTGCAAAATGAGAGCTAAGAACCCTCATTTGGGTATCTGTTTGAACAGATTATTTATATTTTTATACTGTACATTCGAATGCAATAAAGACTGTCTTCATTAAATCAAGATGATCCACCACCAAATATGAAATCTTTTCGAGACTCCTAGGGACCTGCCATTTCATATCAAACGACATGGGAACTAAGAAATCAACTTCATCGCTGTCGAAGTGTTCTCTTCTTTGTAAAGTTTCAAGCGACAGAATTCTTTTCTACTATACTCAGCTCTTGAAAGTGAAAGCCAGCATTTAGTGATCATAATAAAAAGACAGAGGAATCTTCAACTACTCATGTACATAGATGAGCAAGAGTGAATGTTAACTCTTATAATTAATTGGAAAAAGAAGTTGGTCAGGAGAAAAAAAAGAAATTTTCGACTTTTCTCAAAATTTATCCGTCATTTGTTCTTATAATGAACGTAAGGAGCAGCTGCTCTCGGAGAGGGAAGCCTACGAGAGGAGCAAAAAGAGAGAGAGAGAGAAGCAGAGAACGAGTTATCCAAGGAAATGCTTTTGATAAGAACTGCCACTAATAGTTTCCTTCGAATACACTTTGATGTCCTTAGAACTCATAATACTCCAATTTCACAGGTTTCAACTCTTCTTTTTCCTTTCACTCATTAGTTACTATCTTCGTGCTCTAGTTGCTCTTTTCCATTTTCAAATTGTTTTTTCAACTCACCATCATTCCCGTTCTCAAATGATTTCTGCTTCTTTTTATAATAACATTCTAATCTATTTAATATATCAGCTAATTATTAACCATGTCACATAAAAGAATTTTAGTTTTTGATCAAAGAACATTTAATCATAATCTTAGAAGTTAATACATTTAGAAAATAAAAAGAAGGAGAGAATCTTCTTGTGAATGGAGATTAGAACGACTATCCTACTAAACTGAAAGAGGTAGACAAACTTTTGAGTTACCAAAGATAATTTATACAGAAAGCTTTTATGTAAGATGCCGCGTATGGCCGAGAACTTGGCTGGGAAGCTTACTGGCAACTTCCGACCTAGTACTCATCATGCACGTACAGGGTTCGTCTTTGAGTATTTTCGAGTTTCATTCGAGTTTCAGCTCAAGAACGAACTCAATTGTATATTCAACGTCAGGATCTATACCTGGAGAACGTAAATTCACAATTGGTTACCATAATAAGCCATTCAAGTCTATAATAGCATCAGTTACAGTTGAAACAGAATCAGGCGCGTTAGAACTACAGAATGACATAGGATTCGTAGATATTGTTTCTGGTACAAATATGGATGGCGTGCAACATCTTCGTTCTGATAATGTTGTTACAAGGTAAGCTTATACGTACACTTTCGCAGCATTCACTTTTTTTTAAGAAATATATGGAGAGCACTAATTATAATTTTCATATTACTCGCTTTAATACAAATATGGTCGCAGCTACAATTATATTTTAAATATCCTGTTGCCACGAATATCGAAGCTGAATATCCACGTACCATTCCATTCCCATCAGTAGCTATATGTAATAATAATCGATTTCGGTTCGTTTTCATTTCGTACTGCAAACGATATTTCAAAACAAAGCATTAAGCAAAACAACCGTTCATCGCGTGTGAGTTGGAAGAAATAATAAATCACGCGATAAGTGACGTGAAGTGACGTTGTTACACGTAAACGAGTTTGTTCCACGGGAAAGCTCCACGTGAAATTAGGAAAAGCCACGTAACCCGTACGTGAGTGCAGAAACGCTGAAATAATAGCTTATATGATATAATATTTTTTGGATTAGAGTGAAGTTGTTTGTAATGTGGCTGTGATAAATAGAATGAGGAGAAACATGATGTGATTAATGTGCAACAAGATGTTGAAATCATTATTACACAAACAATCTCTCGCATTATAACTATATATATGTATGTATATATAATATAATTAAGCTTAACTTATATAACGGGGCCACGTATATTGAATCGGAGAGCCAAAGAGAAGGATAAGTTCAAGACAGATATTACCGGTAATTCATCTATATTTGATAAAGTCGGTTCATACAGATTTCTTTATGCTCATGGAGTTTTTAAGGTTATTGAGCAAACATGGGATATGGATGCTGTTCGTTTCTTACGAAGTGCCGCACATTGGAAATCTCGTATGATATTAGGGTATTGAATTGATTGTTCACAGTGATGTTCTTACTTTCAAACAAATAGATGTACATGGCCCAATGGAACAAGCTGCAAGTTGTCTGATTTCAAAGCCGTGTGGACTATGACAGGCTTATGTTGGGCTATTAATACTGACATTCATAATCCTGTGGAAGTGGCTGGAAGCGGTAGGAGATATAATTAGCGTTTTTTAACTTTGAAACTAATTCCAGGAGCTACTCATGGTTTACGCCTTCTTTTGAACGTTGAGAGTTATGAGCGTGTTGATGCTTGTACACCTCACTTCAAATCTCGCTCTATATCAGGATTGAAAATATTGATATTCAATCAAACGTATGTTCCGGAGAGTAGTTTGAATGGAGTTAATGTCCCCTCTGGTTATTCCATGGATATTCCATTCAAAATGCAATATGTTGGTATTATAATGCATATAAAGATTGAATACGAAGCATTTCAGAGAAACAAACTTCCTGGAGTTCATTGTATTGAAGAAACAAGAGATCACATCAATGCTAGAGACGACTTCGACTCAGAATATAATGTTCGAACATGTTCAATTCGAAGATATTTAAGAGAGATCGAGAATAACTGTAATTGTTCTATGAGAAGAGCATTTTTGCCAAACAATGATGGTTGAAGGAACCTTGGTTCAACTTTAACAGCTTCTTCTCCAGATTCTTATAATAACTGTAATGTTGATGACTACTTCGGATGTGTACAGAAAACTGTCAAAGCGGTGCAGGAAATTGGATCGAATGCTAATTGCCAGCCTCCCTGTCAAGTGATTGACTATACCGCTTGGCAGGTTTTTTTAGATGGTTTATTTTCGTTGATTAATGAGTGAATTGGTTTAGGATATGAATAGGATGCCCAGTAATCTCATGCCGACACTCATTGAAGAGCATGAAGAAGAGGATGAATCTGATGTTGCTCAAGAAGACATAGATGAAGATGTGAGTTCTGATAAAAAGTATCCAGTGGAAAACTTTGCAGAATTTTTTGGAAACAGATCAAAATGACGACGAAACGTTTAGTTGTAGTGACAGTGCTTATCTGGACGAGAAACAAGTAAAATTTATTTGATATATCATGTTCAAAATCTCATCAGGTTTCACGAATCAAAAGAGATGCTCATCGTGCTTATGAAAAGCAAGCACGCTATCAGGAGAATATTTTTCTGAGATCAAAAAGGCTTATTCTACGTCTCAGTTTAGCAATCCAGTCGTGAGTTTTGTTCATTACCAGATCGGTCTTGTACATGATTTTTTTCGAGCAGAATAAGTAATTTGAAATGGGGATGGCATGGAAACGATTTCAAAGGAGTATATCAGCGGCTAATGGACAATGTAACCTGTTTTGCAACTTTCAGGTAAATTATAAACCTAAGTTTAGCTGAGAACTTTCATTTCAGCCAAAGACATGAAAGTATAGCTAGTATAATGAAAAGCCGGCCACCGTTGAGTGAGGAGAAAAGAGCTAGTCAAATCCATTATGTAATCATTCCTTCTAAGCATGCTTAACAAATCAGATTTACATTCAGTTACTGGACGAAAACTCTCACCGTCAGAATCCATTTCGTCATAAGACCATAGGAGACGTTAAAGCTCACTATGGAGACCGAGTTGAAGTCATTCTCAAGGAAATGCAAAACGTACTGCAGACTGTAAGTTCCTGTTTGATATAAGCACATCTGAACATGTTATCCAGATCGAATTGATGTGGCAAATTTTCGAAGAAAAAACATATTTATCCCAATTAACGGCTGATTTGAGCTTAATGGATCGAATAGTTCAATTGATGACACAAGTTTTAATTATTTCAAAATACTTTCTGATACTTTGATTTCTCAGTACGAAAGTGGGAAGTTACAACGAAGGGCATGGGCAGAGAAGATGCAATCAAGAAAAATGAGACATTTCTTTGATGAAGAGTTCTATGAGGTCTGAGATTCATGAAATTCATCCACTCATAACTTTAAGGGGTATTATGCAACGATAATCAAGGATTTGGATCAAAGTCTTGTGAAAGTAATTGATCGACTTGAAAATGAAGAATGGTTGACGTTGAAGAAAAATATTGAAAACGGAACTGCTTTAAAGGTTCAAGCTCTGAGTTTCATGTAAAACAGAACTGTTTCAGACTGGAGCTATACTATTTTTCGAAGATCCTTCTGAAGAAAGTTTGAAAAAGTTCCAAGAGTTTTTGATGGATGTCTACGAGTGCAGTACAGGTGAGGTGAAGACATTTGCACATGATCAGCTGAAGAAGTTTCGCAAGGCGTTCAGAGAGCTTCAGGTGGAATGTGATTTAACATTAATCATAATGTTTCTCTACTTGAAGACTGCTTATGCCAATCTTTTCCGTAAGGAATTACCTGACTATTTGGAAAACTTTGAATTCGGATCCAAGTTTGTTGGGTCAGAATAACGCTGGGAAAAACAAGGAGACTAGTCTAACTATATTCAGAGATAACTTCGCCATGGTTAATATTTTTTTCCATCGACTACATATGGAAAGATGGAGCCAAGATCAAACCTATTCTATATGGAGTTTAGCATGTGAGACTGGTTCTTGATAAATTTCTTCAAAATTTTCTTTTACAGGTGATATTGGGGGTGCATTAGGTCTTTTCCTTGGATTGAGCTTATTAACTTTGATCGAGCTGATATACTTGTTGATTCAACACAAGTTTTTTTGGAAAAACCTCAAAAACTGTAAAATAACTGATTGGTGAGTAACTGCTTTGATCATTCTGATCTGAAAAGCATGCAGTTTCACAAAAGATGGACGAAAGAAGATCTTCAAAAACAGTTATAACATGGAAAATGACGATTGTAGTCAAACGGCTTCAATAAGCGACATCATAGAGAGAACAATGAAAGAGCAACGTCTTATTGATACATCTAACGAGCAGAAGTACGTCTGGAACTATGCTGGTATCAATCTTTGTTTAGACCAAAACGGAGTATATGGACCAATGAAAACCCATATATGATCGTGCCCTCCGATGATCCTGAGGAGGACGAATTCTTGATGCGACCAGATTCTTCTGTTTCCATACTGGATATGAAAGGTATCTATTCAATCTCTTGTTCAAGAGCATCTAGACTCTCCACCTCGTTCAGAACCAGACGAACTCAGTGGTTTCAACACATCTGATCATTTATATGTAGATGATGCAGTGAATAGGTGAGCCCAGCTCCATAAAATGAAATTTATAGATTTTTCAAAAGACTCTCAAATATTCCGGAAGAAAACTCTAAGCTGGAAGATATATCGAAAGAGCTTGCCAAACCAATATCAAAGGTTGATTCATTTGTTTTCCGATCATTGAGGTTTATTCATATTTAGGAAAACAGTCCAACGGAAGATGAACATACGGAATCCATCTCAACTGCACCCAATATCTTATTCCGAAAAACAAATGAACGGCAGACGGCCTTATGATTTGCACATTGTTATGAATAGAAGAACATTCATTAAAATTTCCATCTATTAAATACGAATTGAGCTATTTATCGCATAAGCCACAAGTCTTGGCACAGTCTTTCTTCTTTGTTTCGTCAGAGTAGAATGGATTCTCACAGAATCCTTTTTTCTCCCATTGTTCACAACTATGTTGAAAATTCAATTATATTTCTTTTTTTGGATTTTAATTACCTGCCAATACTATCGACACAAGGTGATCCAGTTGCAGTTCCATCGCAATATCCACAAGTTTTCTTGCAAATGCTGTGAAAACATCGGTTTTTACTATTTGTTAAGATGTGAGTACTTGTGCATCATAGATTGATAAGCAGGATTGGTGCATAGAGATACATCCTTTGAGCAATCAGTTTGATCCGCGCATACCTCTGCAGTCACATTAACTCTGTTCTCAAGCTATGCTAACCTGTCGTTGTTGAAGCTCCAGTAGTAGAAGTAATAGTAGTAGAAACGGTTGTCACTTAAAAATATTTAACCTCCTATAAACGTGGGTTATTACCTGTTGATGACGATTTTGGATCATTTACTGCTGAAAAGTACTGTATTGTTCAGATATTATAACGTTTTGACATCACCTAATACACCCAAGGAAAAGAGAATAGAAATAACACAACAGCTTAAGAACTTCATTTTTGGATAGAATTTGTTGAGCCTTTCATTTATATATTGAGTTGATAAGTTCCAATCCGATTATGCAAACCTAGTGATCCAACTATCATACTCAACGTTAAAACTGCTCGTAATCAACTAAGCCTTCTAGATAACACAAAAACTGTACATTTGGTACAAAGCATTGTTTTTTTCTTTTTTTATACAACTTTTGTGGAAGAACGTTAGGGAACTTTTTCTCTTGTTCGAAGAGGACAGAAGCAGTAAACGTCGTTCAATGTTCTCGAATGATGATACGCAGCCTATTTTGCGGTCATGGAAATGGCTTACTAAAGGTCAGATGAGAATGAGATAGTTCTTCTCTTCTGTTTTTCCATAACTAGGTTATTCTCTTATTTCATCTTTTGTGAACAAGAAAGCAGGAACAACATCAATACATTTCGAAATGTTCTTCTTGTGGCTTCTTCAAACATTCTTTGTTGTTCAAGTTCTTGCTGAAAAGTAAGTTTGTATGCTTCCTTATCGTTCACTCCCCTGGATTAGTTGTAAGACACGCCCTATAGCTTTTTCGGAATGCCCGAAATAAATATTTTAAAAATCATTTTTAAGTCACGTTCATAAGTGCACTTTCCTATCTTTTCAATTATTCACATTGTTCAGAAATAGCTCTGGTAGTATCACCAGCTGGCCGTTTTTTAATGAAACGGAAAACATCAAGGTGGGTATTGAGCAAACAGAGATTATAAATTACAACAATTTCTCTTTTTAGCTTAGTGGTAATATTACCGAAGATATCCTAAATGCTCAAGTCGTCTATGTTTCTGGCCGCGGAGTATCTTCAGCAAGTCTTCAGAATGTGAAAAACCATACCATAGTTCAAACGGTATTTAATTTTTTAAATGAAGACAAAGCCGAAAATACGTTTTATAGGAAGTTATGACAGAAGTTTTAACTCCACTTCAATATAACTTACGACATAAGAAGAAAACCAGATTAGATATCCTGAACGAGGCTGCAAAAAAGTTTTCGCCAATTTCTAAGGTTTGTTCCGAATGCGTAGTTGATAACATCTGTTTTATTCTAGAAGTCCGCATTGGTGAACTCTACACGATGGTCGTCTAGTAACTTTACAGCTCCTTCACATATTAAGAAACATTTTTCCCGTGACACAGTTATTTCGACCGAAGAGAAAGGCGTTTGATGGCCATGCGATCAGATTCTCAGTTAACAGCTAACTAAACTTTTTGAATTTTCTTCTATCATTCCCTCACAACTTTCTCTCCACTCTCTTCCTTGTACTTCTTTACATTATTCTATATTAAAACTGTTTTTCATTTTCGTTTTTAACATAGCGGTCGTGTTCGGAATTCGGAAATTCTAAGCAACCGTTTGAAACATTGTTTTCATTTCTTGACGGATGACATGCGGTTGAGTTTGAACAAAATGGGAAAGTTGTACGTATGTGTTGTTATGTGTGGAGTTGTATGTTCATGAGCATATCAATCATATTAACAAAAATGAGATAAAACAGTTTTGCTCTTTATTTTTTCCACATTTCATTAAGCATGTTGAAATGTACATCTCCATCCTTATCAACTTGAGCACTGAACCGAGAGGTTAAAGGACCGGATTCAGGAGAGCTCTCAGATAACTCAACAATGTTTCGTCGTTTATTATATGGGAACAACCAAGGCAGAACTCTCCTGGAAAGCAATTATTATCCCAATTACTAGTGTCTTTTTTTTAACTCACCCTGTTGCATGACGAAGCTGTTTGTTCTTGAGTATTGCAACTAGAGGGAAAACAACAGAGTGTAGAGGAACAACTAGAAGAACTGTCTCCGAGAAAGGAGCAAACTTAGCAGACATCCCATATTCATCCGGACTATAAAAAAAAAGAATCATTGCTTATTGTGAACTAAAAACACCACCCGGTCAGTAAGGTGAAGACCAGCATTGATATCACTCCACATAGGCTTAAAACGGTATGAACCGCGATGGAGGGGATGATAACTCTCATAATTTTTACGTTTTCCTTAAACATATTTGATATACGAAATGGAAAAACAACTACCTGCAACTGATATCTTTCAGTTAATGTATGCATTGCGTTGTTCACAAACTCTCGGATTTGTTTTTGTTCATTTCGGTGCTGTAGAAGCACGAGAAAGAACAAAGTGAAAATCTCCAAAACTGACATTGTTGACAAGGAAATAACCTGAAAGATGTAAACATTTTCTTATTTTGTTCTGCTCACCAACCGCTGATTTTGGATGAGATATATAAACAGAGCAATGATGTAAGTATCCTGAGTCCGTCCTGGCATACGTACTACTTGAAGCCAACAGAATGGATAAAAACCACTATGAATACATGAAAAGGAAGTTGTGTTGAAGTAGTAACCTGAGCTGAAATGAGAGAGATGGCCACACATCGGGATCCATGAACTTCATAAGTTCTATACTTAATTGTGGCAATAGTTCTTTCAATTGCAATTACAATAATGGCTATCAGGGTTGAGTAAATTGCTAAGACTATTGGATACCTCAATGATATGTTATATAACATTTGTGTATTAAATAAAGTTACCTTGCCGTAGCACACCAATATGCATTGGTTAGAGCTGAGCATGGCTCATCGTTCGAAAGTAAGTTGATGAGACTGAAATTGCCTTGTATTCAAAAATATTATTCATGAGACCTACTTGTAAGAAGCTATAAAACTTAGCTGAAAACATGCTACCCAAGCAGCCACAGTCATACTTATCAAGGATAATCTCATATTAACATGTATATTACGGGATGATCTCGAACACAACACAGCAATGAAAATAGTGGAAACTATAAGACCGATAGTTCCACTGAACAGATGTACTATACGAATTGCCTGCATGTATAACTTTTCTTTTTTTGCATTAATTATCACAGTTACCTGCATGATTGGCCGACGAGATGTTGAATAAGCTATTTGACAATCCTGCATAGTGCTATTCTTGATAGAAACTGATTGAGAAATGAAATACTGAAGGCGAAAACAGTTATAAAGCTAATGAATACGACCCCACCTGCGACATATGGAGGAAATCATGATCTTTATCCATCACCGTTTCTTCTGTAACTCTGGAAATATGAATAATAAAGAAAGGAAAGGAAAAGGAAATCGAGGATTGGAGAGTCCTTGATTAGCATTCATTTGTCATTTGAGGCATTCACAAAGCTCAGGTATCAATTGAAATGTGAACAACAGTTCAGAGTAAACTTGAACATAATGTCAAAGATGTGTCAAAGATCTGACATATGAAATAGTATAAAAAAATAGCTTCAGATGGTCTTGAGTCTTAGAGAGGTTTGCACCGGTTCATTACAGTCGTTATCGGTACTAAGAGAAGGTTAACAATTTTTTAAACCAATATTCAATAGCTCTATGAGAAAGTTCCGAAAAAGGAAGTGCATGTACTGACGTCATGAGAAAATTTAAAATTCTGCTACTCATGAGAGGCAGCAGTTTAAAATCAGGGAGCAGTAATGAGAAGCTGGTCAAAAAAGTGAAAATTTGTGAAAGGCAAAGGAGAATGATAATACATGTGCAGTGGAAAGATTTTTTGTGTGGATAAAGAATGGAAATATGTTGACTACTAATTAATTCACAGAACAATCAATGAGGAGTGAAAAACATACAAAATACTATGTTATTAATGCATCGGTTAAGAAAGAAAAAATGTGAAAAAGGAGGAAACGAAAATACACAGCGGAACAACCGTTTGTCAGAAAAAAGAAAAATGAAAGTGGAAGTGGTAGAACAGAGTTTAAGTGTTATGAACGCGTTAGGGGAAATTATGCAAATGATAGAATAAATTAGTGTAGGATAACACGGGAAACATTTTGTCCAATTTGAAAGAAAGTTTCTGATAGTCAAGATTGGGCTCACTCTTGGGGAGAGGGGTTGGGTATCGATCTATCTATAAGTTCTATTTAGCTTAGGATATCACTTCCATATAGGCAGAGTAAGGATGGAAGAGATGAAAAAATGGATTATAGAATGAGCGAACGGAAGAAATAACAAAGTCAGAAGAAATAAAAATGTTTTACTGAGGATAAGCATTTAATCGAAAAAAAAAAACGAATTTTCGTTTTTAAACTAAGCTTTCTTCCTAAAGAGGTTTGTGAAAATGAGTTTAGTCGTTCGTTTAAGTGAGAAAACAAAAATGCTCCTCAAATGAAGCGTTTGAGTTCATTAAGCTTCTCACATAACACGTTCACATGTTCTATGAATGGAACAAATACAAAGCAAACAAGAGATTTTTTGTAAGAAAAAATGATGAACAAACATTGTTTCAAATATAATAACGAATGAATTGAATGAAAACAAAGTTAAAGCTCTCTATTGAAACGAATTAACGCATGAACATGCCTATCCTATATGCTTCTAATGCTCAACGATAACAAAAACTACAGAATATTTCAAAACAAATACTTTTTTTTCAATTTTTCTTTCGACTTCCCATTACATTCTGGTCCTAGGCACTCTCTCGTTGTCTTGCACCTCTCTTCTCCTCTCTCTCTCTCTCTCTCTCTCTCTCTCTCTCTCTCTCTCTCTCTCTCTATCTCTCTATCTCTCTCTCTCTCTCTCTTTTTCTCTCAGTTCTAATGAATGGAATAATGATAATGAAAGAGGAATCAACTGAAGTTTCAATTAATTGTTGGAACATCATGTAGCTCTCTTCATCGTTTTCTTGCTAACCATATACACATTTACCCTTTTCATTTCTCGGATCTATCTATTCACACCCACATTATCTCGTTGTCTCAACATTGTGAGAGAACTCTTCTTCTTCTCTTACAATGAAGCAAGTTATCGACAAACCAAAAAAAGAATAAAGAAATTGGGAATATTTGGTTCACTTTGTTAAGTTTTATTGTCGTTGCCTCCTTTTTTCACGTTCTCTCTTTATTTCCCATTAAGAACCGTTTGAACCTTCTAATGAAACTCATTTGATTCTTACAAGATAATAACTACTACTTTGAATTCGTAAACAAACAATTGAGACAATTTTCTGATCAGCGGAGCAACCTTGCATCAAGCCTTTTCAGCTTCTTATCGTCTGCCTTACATATCAAACTCATATTTTCAACACTCTCACAGAATACTGAAAGATGGGTTTGAGGGAATGAATGTCCGGAATCGCATTAAAGGAAAATGCAAAAAAAAAGGATTTGCATGCTTTCCAGGCGATATTGTCTGAATATTAACGAAAAAAAAGTTGTTGAGGAATGAGGAAAGAAACAAACGTAAAGGAAGAAAATGACTTGAAGAGAATGAGGGTTAATGAAAATATTCAAATCTGTTGGTTCAAACAAGCAACTCCCGGCCTAGCTTCATCCGGATTCCAACATCGATTAGCGACTTTCGTTTTCTGAAACAAATGCTGGCAGAAAATGTTTCAGAGAAGGAAGGAAAAGGCACACATTTAGCATCTCGCTAAGATTTCAGTTTCTTTTTGACACAAGACAATTGATAAATCTACATGACGTATGGAAGAACTTTTCAAAGACACGGAAACAAAGATAGAACTTAGCTGAGTTGTGGACATTTCGAAGATGCACAAAACATCATCAGAATGGGCAAACTCAGTGAGTAAGACATTCTTCTTCTTCAGTAAGAAACATCATTTTTCTATCCAAGAAACGTGTTTGGTTGACTCTCACAAGCCAATAACTTGATTAAAAATTAATAATGAATAAGATAAGTAAACTTCCTCACACAACGACGAATGCTGATAGAAGAATTGAACAAGAGAAGAAGCAAGCTAAAGTTGAAAACATATCCATAACTGTCACGGAAATCAGAAACTAAGTCGCAAATATACTATTCAATCTTTTTGAAACTATAATACTCGAAATTACTAGCACACTTTGGGAAGGAAAAGCATAACGAGATGTGGAGATAAAGAGAAGCCGAATGTTTTTGGGATCTTTTGAGACAGTTTGTTGAAAGGCTATGATGTGCTAAACAGAGTTCGTAGTACTTTGATGTTCGGAAAAAGTCTCAACAAAAAAATGTCTGGGACTTGTTGCTGCTTGTTGTCACCAAACTCTCGATCTGATAAAGTAACTCGGAGGATCAATAGTATACGATCAATCATTAGGGTATAAGTATAGTGAGAAAAACAAAAACTTCACTTCAATAGTTTCTTTCAAATGAAAATTGTGTAGCGGAAAAGCGTCAGGAGTTACACAGGTCACATTTCACATTTTGATTCATGTGCTGCCTTTGGTCCGAAATATTGGAAATATTCCTGACTGGTTATTGGTTAGTCTAATGTGAAAAGAGAAATATAGTTTATTATAAACAACCCAAATCTAATCGATATTTTGGATTTTACGTGAAGCACACGTGACGCGCTCAAAGCTCGTTTTTTCATTTTTCAAAAAATGAATGCAAGGTGCGGTTGGTTTCAAGAGTCAGCTAATGAGTTCGTAAGTTTTATTGTTATTCGTCCAATCCTTTTAAATTGAATTTTGCATTTCACATTTGCTCACTTACTTCTTATTATCGTTCAAACTAAACGTAGTGTGAAAATCGAAGGATATTCCCAGATGTCGCTAACTTTAAAGACAACATCATTGTTTAGCTTCAAACAATATTATCTTTTGCGAATTCGACCTAAGTTCTCAACGTATAGGAATCCAATAGAGTCAAGGCTTATGTCATGCTCTAATACGAACTAGTTGCTTCGTTGGCATTCTCATTTGAAGAAGTAATAAGACCGTTCAGCATTTGATTTATAAATCTATGCTCAAAGCATATGCGATTCTGTTCGCTATCTCTGGTTTGGTTTTTCAAATCTTAACAGCGATCTCTGCGTCATCTGAAAATAGCAAGCAGGCAGTTTGTTTTTGATTCTTTGATATTTAGTAAAACTTTCTTATATCTTCTTAACTATCTTAATATGCATAGTTCAAACTTTGCCATCTATCTTTTTTTTATTTATATTGTTTGTATCAACTCTCTAATGTCAAGTTGTTAATTCTTTTGGGCACATGACCCTTGGGTGTCATTCAATTAGTTGTCCACTCAGTGCTGCAATAGGATTATTGACTCATCTCATTCTGGCTTTTGTGTCTTCTCTAATTCTCATGTCGTTTTAAAGCTTTCGAAAAGTATTTACCTTTGACCATTCATGCCTGATCTGTCTCAATGACGAAAGTATGTATTCGTTCCTTATGTCAGCAATTCTTTTTCTTTCGTTATAAACATTAGTGGCCCCATCCCGACAGTTTTTGAAGCCATTTATTGAAGCATATATTATGTGGAGTCGATGTTTATAACAAGCTTCCTCAATAGTATTTTTCTGGCTGAATAATCGATATTTGGACTGAGAAATGCTCATGGCTTGTGTAGAAGTTTTTTCCTCGTTGTAATAATGGAACAAACACCTACTATCTCCTTATCATCTCTATTAAATTTATATACCTAATCATTTGTGAAAAAACAATTTCTCCTAACATCATATTTCTTTATCATGAACCGATAACATATGTAGGGTTGTGTTGCGTTGAATAATATGCAAGCGGGAAATGGAGGATTATTGATCGATGGCAGGACGCGTCCACTGCCAACCCAGCCGGTCAGTTCGACCCTTCTCATTACCATTTCATTGGCATCCACGCTTCATTTCTTATGAATCTCCTAACGCTCTTCATTTTTCTTATGTATTTCCTCATTTTCTCCTTATCGATTTTCGTCTGCTTCACCTTTTATCCTTCTGATAGTATCGATGTATTTTTCGTTTTTTGAGTTCAGCCTCGTTCACTAACATCAGTTATGTTTCTTCAACCTCTCTGTTATCCTGCTCATTGCTATACCAATTTTGTGTCTTTCTTATACATTTTCATAATTTGGTTGCTTCATCAGTTCCGAGTTTTACATATTTCGTTGCCCTAGGGAGTTTCAATACTTCCAGCATTTTCCATTAAACCTTCCAACACACGATTTATAGCATTTGTTTAACTGAACCTCATTGTTTTCCAAGCTTGAACTTCTTCCCAGCAGTTTTTCCTGGTTTGTTATTTAGAATTCCTCATTTGTGTCTTTGTCGCTGTTTCCCCTCTCTCTTTCTCGAAATCATTCTCTGAAGTACAGTCGGCATTTTCTATTTACTCAACTATGCTTTGAGTTCTTTTAAATTTCGTTGTTAACAACATTTCTTCTATTGTTCAAGAAAATCAGATGAGATACCTGCTATTTTCAGAATGGCGTCCCCCAGTCCTGATGGGGCTGGAGAAAACTTAGATTCATCGGATGCAACGCTTAGCACAGTAATAGCTGGGATTAGATGTACTAGTTTAAATGATACAGTGGGCAGTACAGACTTCGAAGAAGCTCTGCGAGATCATGATGGTATGTAATGTCCTCATTGTTTGCTTCTCAAATCATATGATACAAGTGTTTCTAATGATGTGAACGCAGCTGGTTGAAGAGCTCTGTGTTTGTTCCGAAATTTTTGTTTCGTCGAAAAACGTTTGGTATCATCTTGCTTTCTCTATGATGTGTTGTTTGTATCAAAAACTATAAAATTGATGTTAATATGTCGAAAACATTCTGATTGCTTCAGGTGCCATCGGATTATCAGATATGTCTGATGGAGCTATGTCCCAAACCTCGGAAACACAAACAACCACTGTAAATCAACAGTTCCCTGTCGTTACTAAGGTGAATTGTACAATTCAAATAAATCCCGATGTGTCCCTACGATTTTATTAACCTTCTCTTTCAGGTATATTATCATATTGATGACGAAACAACTCCTTATATGACTGAAGTTCATTTATCACCCGATTTGATTACGTTGGGTGATGTGAAAAGAGTATTGATGAGATCGAACTTCAAATATTACTCAAAAACAATTGATCCTGATTCGGGATAGTAAGCGTGAAGTGCATTCTGGTTTAAAGTTTATGTTTAGTGAAGTAAAAGCTGAAATTCGTGATGACATGCAACCGTTACAAAGATCAGCCAACGGTCGTTTTGAATTGTTTTTATTGACGACGGAAGGTTCAACTACATCGGATGGCAGTAGCGGTCTACCGAAAGGATCTCGACACAATTTAGTAACTGCCTAATAACTTTCTTGCCTAAAGTTTTCGTATTAGGTTCCTGGACCAGCTCCTCACTCTCGTTATAACACTAATCAACTATTATACCGACAAGCGGCTAATCAATTCGATAACAGTAGTGAGTTGATTTTATATTGGAAAAATTTTCCATCTTTCCCTTTTTCAGTGATGAGCACGGATTCAGAGTCCATGATTTCGGGAGCTATGCCTCATTACATGAAGGGTGGGATTAATAGAAGACATATCCCACAGTCATATATGCACGGTTGGTTTAATTTTAATTTTTTTTTACGGGGTTGGATCTTTTGACTTCATGAGAATTGATAAGTTTGAAAAACGAAGAGCTGAATGATCTAATTACTGTGTTGGCTTCGTTTGAAATCTGTGTGAGCGAAAGTTGATAGATATGATTAATGATGTGATGCAGCAGCGGAGAAGCTTTGGGGTTTAATCAAGATATTGGGAGAAGATGACAGAGAAAGAAGATGAATAAAATCTGAATCCGTGTGGCAATTGTTGTTCTATTGACTTGATCAAGCTTGGAGGTTTTGTTCTTTAGCTCATTTAATGATTGTCCCACGAATTGATGGGCCATAGGCTGTGCACTTTCTCCAATGTGCTTCAGTTCTTTCAATTTCACATTGAGTTTACTGCATGTATTTTCTCTTTTATATAACGTCCAAACCTCTTGAAGTTTTTCTTCCAAAAACTCGGTCCAGAAATGTTTCTTCTCCGTTGCATCAATTTCTTTGACATATCATCATCATCATCATTATTAGAGTTGTGTGACTACTGGTTTCTCTTTGTTTGTTCAATTTGCTCTGATGATAATACTGCAGATCATTCATCTTTCTTGTAGCTTGAGCAAAACCTTTATTTTGTTGCCATGTGGGACAAAGTTGAACTTTAGCTTAGCTGTTTGCGAGCATACGTTTTCGCTCTTGAGCTACCTCACTTGACTGTTTAACTTCTAATCTTCATTACTCCACTTTCTCACTCTTGAAGTTTTTCTTTTCAAGATTTTTGTTCGGTCCACAATTGGTTACTTGAACATGTAAGAACGATCATGCTAGTCAGCGAAGTAGCAGATCCGCACTAAATCTCGGTTTTTTTTTATAAAACTGTAGTTCTGTTACTGTACTTGCTTGTTTCAACACATGATCTGACTTATGTGCTCATGAAGATGTTTATTTTAACTTATCTTTCAAGTATCATAATCGTCATACTGCAATATTTGTAGCAAATTCTTTTAAATATAGTTTATTCACTTCATACTTCTGTACTGGTGATTCAACCTAGACTCAATATATTTGAGCCTTTAGGAAGTTGGCTTCTATTTATACATGATTGATTTGATATCTCTTCAATCGTTGAAGTTCACAGTACCAGCGTGCGTCTCTTCTCATCCTCAATTTCCCCCTTCTCTAGTTCTATTTGCACGACTTTCTTACACATTCCATCCATCCTTATACTTGGCGATTTTCACAATTTACTTCTTTAGTGATTTATTCAGGAGTTTTTCAATTTTTTCTCTTTTCTCTAACCAATATTTTAAATTTTGTCTCATGATAGTTGCCTCGGGGTAGACGCGGCTGGTTTGCACTGATTTATGTTAGAACTTTCATTGAGCTCTCTGAATTTCCTTTGTACATTTACCTCTGATTGTTTGTATAATCATCATATATTTAACAGATGATCAATCAATCAAGGAGCTCCAACAGGGAGTCTTCTTCGGTGATTGCTACGAAAATTGCAGCGAGATCATCTTTCTGTAACGATGTCATGCTTGAAAGGAAGAACTCGGGAAAATACCTTCCTCCTTTACAGAACGCCTCCGAAATATTCGGAAATGTGGGGGGTAGGGTTGTCCAAATGGTGCGAAAAATGGAAAGACGAGTTCCTGAACGAAAGCCACCTCTTGCTGAACCAGAGAACATGGAAGAAGATGATGTTAAAAAACCTACTCGTAGAAAATATAAAGGGAGCATGACGAGTTCAAATTTTCTTCATAATTTCTTCTCCTCTCATAAAAAAGACGATGATTATCTCAAGAGCGATCTGCCAAAAGTTGTAGCTTTGACTGGATCCACCGACGGGGACCCTATCATAATGCGTGAAAAGCAATTAGCACGGAGCTCGACGGAGTCAAAATTAAGAAGAACATCTTCACATCTATTATCTCTAAGCTTAGCGAATCGTCTTAAAAAGCGACAATCGGAGGGCGAAATCACCAGCGAGCCTAGGAAGAACAAGCGGCTGTTCGTTGGGTTTCCGGACAAGTCCTGTCCCTCTGAAGACTCAGAGTTGAACCAATCTCGACTTCGTCATTCTTTTATTGACTTCCCTGCTAATAATCAATTTAAAGACGAAAAGCAGATTGCTCTGCGACCACTGGCTCCTCGACGAAGTGATCGTTCTATTCCTTCATTGGTTGTTCAAAGAAAAGTATCACCAGGACCTCAGTCTGTGAATGACATCCGGCCACATAGTGCATTCGGTGCTGTTCCGCTTATGCGATCTGATCGCAGGATGATCATGTCAACTCCTTCAAGACCATTGAGTCGAACGATGACTATGATTGAGAGTAAAATTTTACCTCCATTGTATGAGAACAGTACTGAGGTGCCAACAGCCGAGAATACTGTGAAGAGTCGACGTAGTGCTCGTCGTTATATGGGAAGCCATACCACGAGCACCTATCAAGGACAGAAAGATACCGCTCCTGATGCGACACCAAGAAGACATTTAATAGGCTTCTTACATCGAACTAGTCATCTATCCTTGACAAGTGAATTGAGTGGAAATGCTTCTTTTTATCTGATTGGTGAGCAAGTACCAAAAACCTTTCGACTAAAAATAACCATCTGTCTTTTTTATTGTTTTGTTTCTTAATTTTATCACTTTCAGGTCACCGTGGTAGGAGGTTTGAAGACACTCTGGGCTCGGAAAGCGACCATCGTCTTTTCTCGGATGAGGATGATAGGTAAATTTTTAAGATTTCCTTTCACAATGATTTTGTTCCGTTCTAAGCTTAGTGAAAAATGTGAAAAATTGATATTTCGTGAGATAACATGACTGTCATTGTACATGATCCCTTTTGACAAATGACTTGTCTCAAAAAGCTTAAGAAATCGCTTCATCGCTTATTTGGTTCCCTCATTTCTACGCTCAATGTCTGGCTATGCTACCGAAGATGGTGATTTTGAAGGTAGTGATGGCAAAGCATACTACTCGACTACTTCTAATTCTGAAGAGTATTATTGTGCTATTCGGTTAGATAAGTCAGTTTACAGCTTATGTTCTGATAGGCAATAAATTTTTCTTCTGTAATTATCTCAAAAAAGCCACTTCGAGGCCTAATCAGAATTGATCTCGTATATCGAAGCTTCTTCGTTTAAAGCGAGTCGTCCTCTAGAACAGTTGGCAATTTTGCGATAGTTAATGGACTTCTTTAGCACCTATCCCTGTTAGATTAATGACCAAGATGAAAAGACGAAAATTTCTCTTCATCTGACTGATTGTTTCCTAGTTATGGGCATTTTTTACTTGTGCTTGTTTTCAGAGGATCGACTACGACGGATATAACTTCCGTTTCTCGACAACATGATAGTACATATAGGAAACGTAGAAGTCGACGACAATACAGAAGGCCTTCAAGAGCTTCTTCTTTCTCCAGCATAACAGGTCCGGTTTTCTATAGTTTTCAGCTAAAATTTTTTTTTCTATAGAATCTTCTATGAGCTTAGATGTAATAACGGTGACTTTAAATATGGATACGGTGAATTTTCTGGGGATTTCTATAGTTGGTGAAAGTTCCGCCAGGGGAGATAATGGAATTTACGTTGCGAATATTATGAAAGGTTTGCTCCTTCATCTTTCTTTCTTTTTCAATAAATTCGTTCAGGGGGTGCTGTAGCGTTGGATGGACGCATAGAAGCTGGTGATATGATTCTTCAAGTTAATGATATATCTTTTGAGAATTTCACGAATGATCAAGCTGTAGATGTACTAAGGTTTGTTTCTGTAGTCCATGTACTTGATAGCTTGTCGTTTATTCAGAGATGCTGTCGCACGCAAAGGTCCCATAAAGCTTACAGTTGCTAAATGCTTCGAGAACGGCCCTAAAAGTTGTTTCACGATTCCAAGAAATCATCGTGATGAGCCGGTTAGGCCAATAGATACTCAAGCGTGGATTCAACATACAAATGCTATGAGGGGCATGCCATGTATAATGGAAGGTTCGGAAGGAGCACCAACTCCCATCCCTGGAGAATGGCAGCATGGCCGACCTCCAAGTAGCTCCACTGTGACATCAAATGGCTCGAATGGTCAAAATACCATAGTTAATGGACAGCATAAGTTAAATATTCATACGGATAAGAAAAAGGTTGGTGAAGAGACAGATCAATATACAACCATAAGAACAGATTGTCGAGGTGATGTCGTTAGCAGGATCTGGATTGGATATTAAAGATAGGACGTGGCTGAAAATACCTATACCGATGTCATTCTTAGGTAAAATAGTATTTAAAGCATTTTTCATACTTTTACTTAGGATCCGATCTGGTTGATTGGCTTCTAGAACATGTCGATGGTCTGCGCGAAAGAAAAAATGCTCGAAAATTCGCTGGCGATTTATTGAAGCAAAAGCTGATCTCTCATGTTGTAAATCAAATAACTTTCATTGAGCAAAGGTATTATGTGTTAGGACCTGAATGTTCTGGTATGGTGTTTCTATAAATTTCGACATATAACTCGAAATCTCAGATTTTGCACGTTACCGATCTCACCCGGAGGACCTTCAAACAGTTCACCAACAACATCAAACTGTAGGCCGATGGCAGTGGACAACTGGTCCCAGTTCTAAAACAGGGCAAACCCCATCAATGGTAAGCGATAGCCGTGGAGGGATGTATGTTATGAACATTTGAAGCATTTTCGCACCACTTAAGACGAAAGCATTGAGCTTGAATTATGCTTCCTCATCTATCTTTACTCTGTGATATCTTCTCAGTTTTACTTGTCGCTGAAGCGAATCACCACTGCCTGTTACTAAATGCACTTTCAAAATGATTATGGTCAAAGAGCTTGCTAAATTCCGAGAGGAACGTCCGTCCGTTTTATAATTTGTTATATATTTTCCTCATGCATGATATCTGGTATTCTACTTCCGTTTTCCGGTGCTACTGTTTTGCATTCATCATTTCCTAGCGTTGTGCAAATCTCGCCATCTCATTTCTGCCTGCGTTCGGACAGCATGATTAGGTCCTTTAATGTTATTTCTGGTACGATTCATCCTGAAGATTCATACTCGTGTCGTTCACGTCTTAAAAACAATTATATTCCTACATTCTTCGTATTTGTACATAAAGTTTAATTTTCATCCTTGTTTGTTTCTTCTCTGAAACATACTTCCAATGTTCTTTGCGAAAGTTATTTCCATGTTTTAAACTATTAGTTTCATATTTTCAGAAAATGTTAATGAATGAAAAAATAAATATTTTATTTTTTTAAAACATCCTTTGTTTGTTGCACCTTGTAAGCTCAACGTTGTCCAGCATGAAAAGCGTGTCTGTGTTTTCTAGTAGCATTATGTGTATTTTTTTTATTGAGCAAGTTCATTTTATATGTTTAAAGGTGAGTGGATATGCTTCCATGCCTGTGTCTCCATATCCGCATTTCTTACCTCGAGGAGGTCCTGATGTTCGTTCTCAAGCTTCTGGTGCATCAGCTGATGGTAGTGGGAGTGGATCAGAACATCGGAGGTGAATAGTTATACGAACATTCAAGACTACTTAATGTTACAGAAATACACCCAAACTAGGAGTGGGAAATCTGCGCAAACATCCGTTATGTGACTCAAGCATGGATTACACAGTTAGATCTCAACCCATACCGTTTTGAGCCAAAAGAAGAATCCTAGATCGTTTGTGGGTTTTAAAACATTTTTCTTAGAGACTCTGATTCTAATATGTTAATTCAAAAGATCCTTGATCTGGATTTCACCGAAAATCACTATGACACGCTTCCTATCCTCTTACTCGCTCACGGTTCCTATTCGTTCAACATATTACAAGTTTCTCTAGAAGCAAGCGTTTCAAATGAATCTCAACTCCTTATATTTGTATTTTATATGCGATCTACTCATATTCAACCGCTCAATTCTCTAATTAACGTAAAGTTGATATAAATATTAATATAATATAGTTAGTTCATATTAATCTTCTGAAGGTATCTCACAGAGAAGCTCTCTTGAACATTAGAATCTTAGTATTTCTTTTTTCAGCCGTTCTGGAACGAATTTTTCTATTTTTTCCGTATTTTAGCACGCCTGCGACTTCTTCTCCATTAGATATCAGTGCCTAAAAAACATTAGGGGTTGTGTGGTCACTTCAGGACAATAAAACTAGAGTTCTGAAAATGTCTTTTCATTGTTCATACAAGAGAGCTAATCATAATAGAGACTATGAAAGTGGTTACAATATTATACGATGTCTCCTCATTACACATGTGTTTTTCTGAGCAAACGTTACATGAACCGATCCCGTTCAAGGCTTGACATTGAGCTAACGCTTGGTTACAACTCTCATTTCTTAGTCCAGTAGCTGTTCGGGTGAGTGAAACTCCGCATCCACGAGCGACAAACCCTGCTGCAATAGGTATAATTGACTAATGATGAAAAAAATAGTTTTAATATAGGGTCGCGCTTTTTTGAAATATCTGTGTTGATGGGTGTAAAGCTTGTTTCATTTTCAACTCCGCCGAAGTGGTGAACGGTTGTGCTCACGAAACAATTTTGAAAAAAAATCTCAGAACGGAAAACAGTTTTTTCTCTTTCTTTCTCTTCTATTATTAGTTTCATCGATCGATGTCTTAATGAGCCAGTCATTACCGATCCGAAAACCAAATGAATCTTATATTTGCTTACCATCCTTATGATCACAACTGAATTTGAAACAATCTAGAGTTTGTGGCGCACATTGAGTTGGAACGAAATCTTTGAGCGAACCTTGATGGCACCAAAGAGCACCTGAAATAGAAGGATAGTTGTATAAGGAATTAGAAGATAAAAAAACCAATTGAACTTCCATAATGCTGAGCTGATATGCTACAGGGAATCAGGAGGAACGGAATAAAGAATAAGGAGAGGTTGCTGATCATGGATTGTAGTGTGAGGGGACGCAAAGCACGATTGACGATTATCAATGCTGATTATTGAATGATAGACGATGATGCTCCGAAGAAACAACAAGGAGAAAAAATTTTGGAACTTCAAGTGGAAACAAGAGAACGTAATGAAACGATGATGACAGAAGGCCAAGATGATTTTAGACTGGATGGCACGGAGAGAAGTACAAACATATGGGATTAGACAAGCAATCGTTAGAGTTTCTTCGTTTTTAAGTGATGTATCTGAAGCACAACATACAGCTGAGAACAATGTTTTCTTAAATAAAGAAAGTGAAGTGGAGGTAGTTTTGATCACGGAGCGAATGATATTCCTAACATAGGGCTCTTTAGGGTTTATTACTGGGTATCTTGCTGGGTGTTGCTTCTTCCCTGCTTGCGCGTATATATCCTTCCTGATGATACAAAATTCTGTAGGTTGGAAAACGAAAAAAAAGTGGAATTTTTTTTCTTTTTCCTAATCTGTCTTTCCCATCAGAAGTTGTCCATTGCGAATATCGAAATCTTTCCGTCTTCTGGGAGACCTCGTCAGCTCAGACAACTGTTGTCCACTTCATTCGAGAGCTTCTTCGCATATTGTTACCAAGTCTTCGTTTTGTTTTAATCCTACTGGAATAGCGGAAAAACATTTCGAATAAAATTTATGTTTATAAAAGCTTGATATTTCTTCTGTTCTTCTCAATCAGAACGTCGACTTAAGCCATATTCGCCTAGTTTACAATTTTTTCTCGTATTCAAGAAGAAATCCTCTGACTAATTCAGCTAAACATGAGATCATCGATAAAGTAGGCTTTTGAGAATGTTCTTATTCTTCCATATTAACTATTTCAACAGGCAATCCATTTTCCGTCAACAGAAGCTCATATGACTTTAAATGGAGGTTCTTGATTTGAGAAACTTAATGTCCTAGCTTTTTGCCTTCAGCGCCAATAGTCAGCAAATGTCTGATTTGATTTCGGCCGCTGTGGGCGGATTAGAAGACGAGGAAGAAGCGTAGTTTCTTCAAATTGTATCTCCTATTCTAGTAGGAATCCTTTTCTCTCTCTCTCTCTCTCTCTCTCTCTCTCTCTCTCTCTCGACTACTCATGACAAAGCTCAAAAACTGATACTTCTATTGCTCATAATCCTAAAGAAAAGCTGTTTGGATGATGTGTTCAGAACTGAGAGCTGTAGCTGCTTTCCCATCTTGTTAGATGAAGCCAAAGAAGGCAATTTGCATGTTTTCTATCTTCCCTCATAATCATATACTGCCTATAAGGAGAATAAATTTGTCTTCTGTTTACAAGCAATGACCATTCTCTCTTATTCTCTTTTCGACCTGTAATACCAGAAGAGAACGAAAGTAGAAGTGAACTTGTTTTTTATGTTTCGTACCACTATTGCCTCTTTCTGTCCCCTCTCCCTTCAACTGAAATTAGTTGTGCAAGTTTTGGCTTCAAAAATAACCAGAATGATCATCCTATCTTTTGTTTTTCGTTTATTCTTTTCCAATGTTATATTTCAAACGGTTCTTCTTCGTTATGCTTACAAGAACTTCTGTTTATTCCAAATACTTGTAAGAGTTCATCGAGTTTAGTAATTCAAACCTTTCTTCAAATCAGCTCGTTTGGAATTCCATGATTTCAAATACTTATTTTTTGTGTTTAGTTTCCTCCCGAAGAGCCTTGTCTTTTGACAGATTAACATTATCCTCTAGGGGAGAGCTGATACATGGTTGCTTCTTATTTTCTCCAAAAAGCAGATACTCAAAAAGCATTTTCTAGCCGCTCGCTTCCTTCTTTCTCGCTGTTTCCGTTTTTGACAATAAGCATATAAGAAACGAAGAAGAAACAAACTTAGTTTGTTCTTAATCAGTTTTCTTCGATGAAAGGCGTTAAGTGTCAAGTGAAATCACAATGAACGCTAACAAAAAGTAAAAACGTTTCTCTAAATTTCCTTTGGCAGTTTTTTTTGTAAATAAAACAAGCTGTTGGGTGTCTTCCAAATGTGTTTTCTGTCGAGGAGATTCAGTTCTTGCCAGTAATCACATCGGATTCACATTTGAATCCTTCATAGAAAATCTTTTTTCTTCATTTCTTCACTTTTTTGGGAGATAGAGTTCGCAGCTCATTAACGCCTTATTCGTTTGATGGAAGGATAGTTCATCCACGATTCACTATTTCCCTCTTTGTGTTTGTGGGCTCGTTCTTTCTTATAATTCCTCTCTTTTCTTCTTCGTGCTAATTTTTGCGTTCAGATGAGAATTTTCCGAGTACGACAAGCGGATGATGGCTTCTTTCGACATTCCGAATGGGTGCGTCGTATTGGATTACCTTCTTCAGTCTCATTAGGCAACATCTCATGGAAGATAACTGAATGTATAATATATTATAGTTAGCATCATTTCCATACCTCTGTTGGTCTTTGTAATATTACCGGCAACTCTTTTTTCTCTATCGGGGCCATCAACTTTAATTTCATTAATTATAGCATTCTTGATTGTTTTTCTTACGGGTAAGTTCAAAATGACTTCCGTACGTACAGAGGGAACTGTTTAAACAAGCTCCGCTTCCAGCCAACCATTTATCAGAATTGGCATGTGCTGTCCCTAAAAATGGCGTTGTTTATCATTTTTCATTCGCGTCAATCGGAGAATTACCAGCTTACACAATAGCTTGGATTTCCTTTCTAGATTCAATTTGTGTCTCCAATCTCTTAATATCTGCTTGGAGCCAACATCTTGTAAATATTTACTTTAATCATTAATACTTCTAACTTGCTTTCATCTCCAGAATTTATTGTTCCGAAAAGGAATTCATGTAGTAACATCATTGGAGTTAGTGCACAAAGACTCAGAGAACTGGCTACTTACCCCTCAATACGATCTTCTCGCTGTCCTTTCAGTCGTTGTTTCTCTTTTCATTTTGTGCTGTAGTTTGAAGGTTTGTTTATCACTAGTCCACAGTATAACTTTGCGTTTCAAAGGTTATGGGAACAATTTCTATTTGTTTCCTTTCTGTAACAATCCTCATAATTGCTAGTTGCGGGATGGTTGCTTTTTTTCATGCTGATCCACAAAATTGGATTGATGCACCATTCTTCACTCATGGTTATGTTGGAGTGAGTTTACCGTGAACTCATTCATCATATCACTTTCACAAGGTTTTGAAAGGAGTTTGTGCTTTATTGGTTGCGTTTTGTGGGGTTGAGAACACAAGTTATCTGCTGGAAGAAACTAAGGTATTTCTATATTTTTGTTTTTTTCACCGAATGCTGATGATGGATGAATATGCATGAACATCCCGGCCGCTTAGCAGTCACTGGTGTCCGAGATTCACTTGAATCAATTTTTCGTCTCTCATTTTTCAGAATCCCAGGGGACGAACACCCTCATTGACATCCGTTTTAACAGTGTTACTAGGGATTGTCTTTTTCTTCATCATTATGATATTCAGGTATTTTTTGTTAGCTTCAGTTTATCAACATCTGCTGCTTTTCAGTTTGGCGACTAATGTAGCTCTGGTACCAAGTTCGACTCTAATTCCTGAGATCTTCACCGTTATGAACATTCCAGCTGCTAGGTACAATAATTACAACTACCAAAAACTTCTTTCTGTTCCTTTGAACAATCAAAATAAAAAATCGTGTAAAAGAGTTAGTTTATGTAGTTCATCTTCACAGCGATTTGGACGAAATTGGGTTCCAGCGCATGCGGTTTGTTGCCAATTAAGTTTTACCAGCTTATCTCTTGCATGGTGTGCCGCTTCTGCTTCGACCATGTCTTCCACAAAAAAAATATTCAATCTTCTTCAATAATTTCTTCACTTATTTCACATCACCGTTCTATGGTTATAAGCGTGTGTGTGTGTGTGTGTGTGTGTGGCAAATCCAATTCATTGGATGAGATTATCATTTGACATTTACTGATTTTTCAGCAAAAACTAAAATTCTTTAATGAGCTTCTTTATCTGAAGATTTTTTGCCAAATTTATGAGAAATAATTTTAGATATATGTTGACAGTTGCCTCTGTGTGTGGTTTATCTGGAGCTGTTCTATCGTCTTTTCTTCCAGGATCTAGAATTCTTGCGGTACTGGCTGCAGGTTGGTAGAAACAGTTCTAAAAGTAATTATCATTTATTCAGATGGTTTACTACCGTTCCCATCAGATTCTTCGCTGCGTTCACCTATCATATCCATCTTCTTCTTTTCAATTTTTGTTTCGTTTTCACTTTTGGTCAAAACAGAAGTAACATTTGGAATAGTGTCTTTCACAACACCAATAAAGTATCTGATCATAGTCAGTTGAAAGAGTCTTAAATCTATTACTATCTTTGTTACAGTGTTCTTTAACCTATATTCATCATTACACACCGGAGCCAGTGGGTATTCCTCATGAGACAAGTCAATACAGGTTTCTACTTCTACTTGACTCTGATTTAATCTAAGATATTTCAGGAAACTAGCAAAACGTACGCGATATCTCTCAGATACAGGATCCATTGTCAGCGCTGCTCTAGAAGATAGCCAATATTCTATGGACACTGCTGTTTTCGTACAAATGAACATAGCTCATATGGAACAGCGACGTCTCCAACGGCAGCTTGAGCAGGTAGAGAATCTATACATTCTCTTTCAACCTCAACCTCAGGAACAAAAAGAAGAGCTTGAAAAACAACCAGTTTTAGGAAAGTCTGTTTCTCAATATCAGTCTTTGGTACTCTTCACTTGTTTCTCATTAAAAATTTTCATGATACAGAGCAACCCGAAAGAATACTCGATGGAAAATGATAGTCACAACTGCATTGCCCATGGTTGTTCACCACCTAATACAGATGACGGTATTGCTATTAAATAGGCTCAGTTAATCTACTAAGTTTCAGAATCGATAGGAAATTCTCATTTGTATCATCGTGAGGTTCCAGAAATTCCGTACTGTTCATCATTTAATGGTTCGCATCGCGTTTCCACACCGATAGATATGAACTCCGAATATAGAAAAGCTAAAGCTATCTTTTTGCTCTTTCTTGTGTCGTCTTTCGTTTTTTGCTTTCTTCTTACCCATATTGCCAAACACGGGGTATAATGAACTCATCAGATTGATACTTCATGCTATATTTTCAGATTTCTTCCTACGTTCTTCTCTCAGTACTGTTAAGTCTTTGTTCAGTGTGTTTCGCGACAATACATCATGTTCCCACTAATGATTATATTTTCCGGTTTGCACTTATTTCTCAATTTCTTTATTCCATTTTCCGAGTAGTCGTAAGTGGAAGACTCCTCTTTTTCCTCATGCGACTTTGTTACTAATATTCAGTATTATATGGGCAGTATCATCAACATCATTCACTGTCATAGTGTATAGCTTTGTATGGCTTGTTTGTGGTATGACTAGCTACAGAGCTAAAAGTTGAAATTATAAATTGAAGGCTGGGTTCTCTACTTTTGCTATGGATTCTGGTTTAGTGTTGAACAGTATAATCGAGGGAGGAAACAACCGTCTGAAGACACTGAAGCTTATCGAGCAATCATTGGTGAAGACGTGGCCTCTGAAGCAGTTTAAGCTCTTGTAGCTAAAAGTAGCTTCTATAGCGGGCTGCAAGTGCAAGGATACATGGTATCAGTGCAGAATATGATACATAGCTGTGATTCATTTTGTGATTTATGTTGTTCACAACAAAAGATTGAGGATGACAATATTTGAAACAGACTTTCCGCATGGATGTGAAAATTGTTCACTCTGAAGAACCAAAGAGCGGATTTCTGAAACTGTGGTTATCTGCTCTAAGATTTCTAAGCCTGCTCTGCAGTCGCGAAAATGATCAATCGATTACTAAAATTAATGTTTTCTTTTTAGTAACGATGCAGAGTTTTGTTCATGTTTTCTATCTCAGATCACCAACATTGCACGGACTGTCCTTTTCATCGCAGTTGTTTAACAATTCGCATACTCAGAAGTCAATTTGTTTTATGAACATCTCCAGTTCCATATAAACCATTGTTTGCATAATTCTTATATTACTCTTAAGCAACTTATTAGATTAGAAAATCTAGTCAGCAGAACATGAGCCGAGATATTATCAAAGTTTCAAAAGTTGTTTCGTTTTTTCAGAAGCCACTCTACCTCAACCCATTTTTGAGCCTTGGAAATTCTGTTCGCGTCGGGACTAATTTGAAAAATTCATGATATGTGAGTGAGAAATTAGTATTGCTATCCTGAATTCAAGCTCTGCTTTCTTTAATTTCTTTTTTCGAGTGATATTTTGTTATGAATTTGGTGCCAGAATATATCTTGACTTGATTATTATTGATCCCATGTCCAGTATATGGAAAAGGGACTATAAACTGATTGGACCGTTTTGTTACAAGTGTGATTATTATAATATATTATTATAATACAATATCTCAGTTGATAATTCTACATAAGTATAACTGTGATTGAAACTAAGTTTTCTTACCTCATTATTGATGTCATCCAGTGTGGAGAACACCCATTCACACGTTCTGTTAGATTATTGAAATGCTCTATTCTTGATAAAAAAGTTTTTTTGCTCCTCTTTGCTTCACTACTAAGGAGAATGGTCACAAGAAAATATCCTTGTCCTAGTTTAGCCTTTTACGATTTGAGATGGAATGCAGTCTTTCGGTGCGTTTCGGATTAGGCATGGATGAGTCCAGGCCCGATCCCTGGCTTGGGAGCCGATGAGCTTATTCCCCCTCTTTGGAAGACCCCCAGAGAGAGAGGAATGAAGCCCACCGGTTCACACCGCCAACTGACGTGATTCAGTTGTTTTGCGGCCCGGTTATTCTATTTTCGAAAGGTATTCAACTGAATTATCAGCTCGCAATCTTAATTGTTTCTGTCTTTTTTAGTATTTTTTTTGA